ACTATTGGGCAAAACCGAGTTGACATTAACATCGCATCAAGCTATAAACAAAACACTGTTAAAATCTTTGTAGTTCTTCAGCTTTTGTCTGCGGTGTCGCTCGCGTTTCTTTTTGGAGTTAGGACCCTTGTTTCATCCTCCTCATCATTATCATTTCAGCTACAGGACGTCCACTGCTGAACATAGGCCTCCCCCAATGACTTCCACATCGCACGGTTGGTAGCGGCCTGCATAGCTCGTAGAGACGATGGCCGTTGGGGCAGGAAAGTTCTCGAGTGGCGACCACGGGCTGGAAGACGTAGCGTGGGCAGGCCTCCTACTAGGTGGACCGACGATCTGGTGAAGGTCGCGGGAGGTACCTGGATGCAAGCGGCGCAGGACCGGTCTTTGTGGAAATCCTTGGGGGAGGCCTTTGTCCAGCAGTGGACGTCTTTCGGCTGAAACGATGCGATGACGATGCGACGACGAAGCCGCGGGCAAAAGCTAGTATATCATAAGTAGACATTGAAATTATACCTAATAATAGCTTTGTCCATGGAATAATTCACGTTTCAAATGATGGAAGATTTTTTTAAATAACGTGTAGGAGTAGTAGGGGACATAAGCTCAAACTCGCAAACTTGTCTTTAGTAGACTTAATAAGTGGACTTATTTAGCGTTCAGCCTTAGCTGAAAAAGCTATTTTAGTACTTCGTCTCTAAACGGTTAGCAAGACAATGGGGCCCTCTGGAAGACATTACTGTGATGTTTATTGTATAGACTACATGGACTAATTTGTTGTGTATGAAAGTAACTGTGTCTGTCTGACAACTTCTTCTTTTGGAGGACGCTGTCGTTTAATCTTACGCCCGTATTCACAAACATTACTATGAGGTCTCACAGTGCGCGTGGACGCACAGGGTGACACAAGAACCAATCAACAGAGTTCTATCCAATGCTGTGCGTTCGATTTGCTCCTTTACTTGAATACGGGCGTAGAGCTCTAGCTCAATTGTAGAGTGAAGAGTAGGAAACAGTTAAGAAATTGGATTCAATTTGCATAGAATTGCATGAATGAAACTGTATTATGCTTTACTGAGGGTTGCCAGATGTTACTGAATAAGAGAACTGGACAAGTTTTTGATTTGAAATCAATAAGCATGCCTGTCGATCTTGCTAAAACAGAACCTACAAATGACCAAGTTATTGATTTGAAATCAAACATGTCTGTTGACTTTGATAACACAGAATCCACAAATGACGTTAGACGTGACTTTTTCCAAATAATATCTTCAGGGAAACAGTCTCATGCATGACAGCTCCTTTATAGGATTTCAATTGACTGGTGGTGCCTGATACCTTAGTACTCTATTGATGGTGATAGAGTTTAGCCTACTTTTAGGAACAACTGGCCCCTATAAGTTAGTAGGTACTTAACCTATGTGACAATTTTACTTCCAAAATATCTTTGCTCCAGCTTTCGTACGCTGTGTCGCTGTGTGAAGCGATTTCGAAATTGAATGTCACTTTATCTATGGGGGCAGTTAGTACCGACCGAGTCCACATTTTTATAGTAGGGTAACAGCTTGAATGCTTCTATCCCCAAATTGAAAGCAGCGATTGAATTTACGTAATCGTAGTGCGTCGCGTTGGCGGCCTGCCCAGATCATTGGCATCATTTTGTTTGGTCTCTAGAGCTACCATCGTCCGGGTCCCTGGAGAAGTCCTGTTTGGATCGTCTGAGGATGCTTGTAAAGTTCCCGGAGAAACCCGGACACATTTCATGCCTCAACTAGATATAAATAAAGCTTTAAAAAACTAGGGCCGGCATAGGGAATGGTGCAGAGTCCAAATACCGGTGGTCAGGCATTCATATTGTGTCCACGTACTTATGCTAACTAACTGAATGCATAGCGCTTAAATAAATAGGTTGTTTCGGTAGTAGAGTTGCGGGAAATATTACATTGTATACCTACGAAGTCTTGCGACGGCATTTGACGTAGGCCAAACCATTCCCTTGCAGCACCATTACATTACTATAGGAACCAACTTAGTTATGCTCAATGTTCGAAGAAATCAAAACAACAAAAACTTATTGCATCGCTATCCAGTGATAAAATATCAAATTCGGTTCACAGCGACAAAAATAGGTGTCCGAGGAAATTATTTTACCCAAATGTCCGGGAAAATCAGTTTTCTGTCCAGCATCGCTAGGTGACAGCCCTACGTCTGACGTTTCAATGGAGATGGTTTACTATCGAAATATTTAGAGTACGGATTTATCAATGACGATAATGTTTTTGTAGTCCGTGCATTTGTGAGCTTCTGTCTGCGACTTGGATAAGCGTGGGATTCGTTCTGAAGTTTTTTTTTTACTTTTTTTGCGTCTCCCCAACCCGTCTGGCCAGCGTGGGGAGTGTAGACCAAATCCTCAAATATTATTGCCTTTGGTGAATTAGAGAGAGTCGCGCTCCTGCAGTGGAGGAGACTAAGTAAATGACCCGATGATGATGATTTTTTTGCGAACCACGTCATAGCCGAACTGCCGAACGGTGAAAGGGTCGGACTGGCCGACTCGAGATCCGAGGAACGCGGGTTCGAATCCCACCGCCACTCGACTATTGAGGTGAGCCCACTCGTAACACAAGCATCAAAATCTAAATATTTAAATTATTATTTTTAAGTAGGCCCTTCTCAGGGCATATTTAAAGCTTGCCCAAACAATCACTTTGGTACAACACATGGGCTTTTGCTAAGAAGAAATGCATCTATCACTAACACAATTGCACCTATAAAATGATCCATTTACCTTGATTAGCCTACACACCATTATCAAAGAACGTCTTAACTGCTAACAGCACAAATCAATACCAAAATAAATTATCGTAAGCTTTCGCTTCCAATCACAACTGTCACACGGGTCACAGCTATTTTGGTTGCACTGCACATAAAAATATTCTGGTTGACGCAAGTGATTGTGATGATTGCACGGAGTAGGCGGGCAGACGTCTGGTGGTAGGCACTGTATGTATACAGACAGACAGACTTAATTTGACTATTGCGTCTGGAAAATGTAAGCTGCATAGAGATATAGAGAGATTCCAACTAAGTAATGCGCTGAGTTCGAAACTCAGTGTCGCATTGAAATGTACACTCACAAAGTAATCAAAATGTGTGCTCATCCACTGCGGTATCAGTACTCAACGTTCGAATAATCTTTAAATAGTAAGTAGTATAGATGACCCACGCTGAACTGTCCCACCAAACTCAATGACAAGGCGGCGCTACCATCGTTCAACTATATGGTTTCCAACATGGCAAAAATCGGAACCAGCGATCCGGTATTGACGGTGGCGCCCCGCTGTCAATGTTATGGATAGGACAGTTCAGTATTTTGGAACTATACGCAAGCAATGTAAACTGTTTATATATGACGTCGCTGCTGTCATCATTGCTGTCGCGAGCAATGTGTTCTGTTTTTTGACATATTGCTGGGACACCGGCCCCGCCCCCTTGTCACATCTCCCTTTAGTTTCTGGGATCTGTGGTAAGCTGCATTCAAAGACAAATTCGTAGCCAACTGCACACAGCAGCAGCAGGCGACGCGTCGTTGCGACTTGCGACACTACTTACTGGTTACTATGTAAGGTATTTCTATGAAATAGCATCCGTTGCTAGCGATACGTCGTTTGAGAGTATTTCGTAGAAATACATAGGAAGTCGGGTATTATAGGCCCTTTTCAGGGCTCTTATACACACCCCAAATATATCTTGCACCATTTGAGGATTAATTTTGGCTAATGCTTGAAAGAAGTACCTACCGGAAGAAACTCGGTCACCTATACAGCGTGGTCTAAGGAAGTAACAAGAATTAATAAGGCAAGTTAAAACCAAAATAAACTAAATTCGTGCCTTCGTGTTTGTTTGTAGGAAATATTTTCTGGAACTCCTGAAACGACTGAAAATTCTTTTACCAATGAAAGCGACACAGGGTAAATTAAATAAAACATTTATTTAAATCCACGCAGGCAAAGCCGTGGGCAAAAGAAGCCACTCAAAACCACAACAGTAAATTCATACAATTACTTATCGTCAGTTGCACCACTTTACTAACCGTACCTAACTATAAAGATAAAACCGGCGTTTTGGTATGGAATTTGACAGACTTGACGTTTGTTAAAGTAAGATGGTGCAACCCAGCCTTCGTAGGCTCCTAAACCATAAATCACTGACTGAGTTAAATCGCAAGATCTTTAATTTGAAACAAAGTAAGGCACAGTTTCGTCTGTCGACTATACATATTGCAGACAGAGCCGCACGTCGCGCTAGTTTGTTTGTGCCAGTGACAGTCCGCAAATAGAAACGGCTAAATCACAGAATCTCACAGGGAAATGAACTTTGTGAGGCGTGGACGCGGTGATAGCGGTTTGATAAGCGGAGCGATATGCAATATTAAAGTTGCTACTCTTCGGTTCCTTTCCTTGACTTAGCTTAACTTTCGTCTCATAGATATTTATGTATCTGAAAACAACTGAAACTGTAATGGTTGGCAACACTGCGGCGGCCATATTTAATGTATTTTATGTAGGTTTGATGTTTAAATAAAATGCTGATGTTATTTATTAACACTTGGGGTTTTATTCTTCTTAATTACTTCACAACTTGTACAACAACGTCTGTCCTTTGCTTTTTCTCCAATAAGATTAAATATGGCCGCCACAGTGTTGCCAACCATTATAGAAACCTTGTCAGAAATAACTCAGGAATCGAAACATGTGAAAGTAATAAAAAGCTTGTAAAAAATAATTCTTATTAGGAACATAGAAATTACAAAACAGAGACTTTTAGCAAGTGTGAAACAGATAAAATATCTACTTAAGTAGACCCTTAGAATTTGTGTTGACCATATTTTTTTTATTTGGGAAACATACAGCTTACATAATATTTACAAAGACTTCAGTTATGTTTTCTTCTGTAACCTATAATAACTCATTCGGTTTTCTTTCCAGGTCATTTCCTGTATCTCCCCGTGGACCCCACCATGGAGAATATGGTGATCAAGTCACCGCCCTTCAGAGGGCTTTGGGAGTTTTGCAAGGTGAGTGCGATTTACTTAGGTACCTCTAAGCTTTAGATAACAATGAGTTTTAAATGAACTTGCTCTTTAAATTAAATGCTTTGTTGAAATGAATTAATTCTGCATTTTGCTGCCTTCGTTAGGTCTTTTTTCACTTCATGAAGCGGTTGCAAAATGCATTTGTCACGAATATTAATAGAATAAAATAACATTTTATTGGTTCTAATAACATTAATACACGACCCCTATTGCGCGCCCTTATGACCAGTAGACCGACCTGGCTCACTGTGTCACAGATGAGACAGGGACTGTGTCACCAGATTGTAGCTCTCCTATAACCTGTCTGACACTGTCTGATTAAACCGTCTCGGCCACAGGTCTCGACCAGAAGGGCGCGCAATCCTCATCACGCATTGGTTCCCGCTGAAAACCAGCTTCTCGGCATGACGTTTGTGTCATGTCGCGATTTTTGCTGAGCGGGCGCCTATTCAGCATATGTTTTTATTTATTGTTTGTTATGTTTTTATGTTTTTTTATGTACTTATTCTTGCCTTGTATACCTTAAATGATAATTATGCTGAAAAAAGACATTCTTATTCTTATATAACTTTAAACTTTTTAGTTGCATAAATGGAACCAAAATGGTGTCCACTTAGCTTGAACCACAGCGACCGGTAAATCCTTTGGCATGAGGTTGGTTTACTTTGTCTACGCGCCTAATCTAATTTCCCAGCATTTCCTGCTTCGAGAAATCTCTAAAGGCCTATATTGACTGACATTGCAAGGTTGCTAGAGGGGCTGCCTGCATATTCTAGGATCTACTACTTTGCCTGGCCCATTCCCATTTTATTTGGGGTCGGCCCTCCGCGTCATGCGTCTCCAGGCGGCTCGGCCCTGGGTTGTCTTACTATTAACTTGGGCTTCTTTAAGGTCGTTATTGATTACGAACATCCACTACACTGCATAATCTAGGATCGTTTCAAATAAATGACGTCCTCCCCATGTTTTTCCACAACACAACGACTGTTTCTGCGCTGCCTGCATCCAGGTACTTCTCGCGACTTTCACCAGTTCGTCGATCCACTTAGTGGGAGGTATGCCCACAGTACGTCTTTCGGCCCGTGGTCACCACTAAATTTCTCTGCCTCAGCGGCCATCAGCTCTACGACCTATGTGCCCTGCCCACTATCACTTATGTTAGGAAATTCTGGGGGACTCAAGGATCATCAATCGAGAAGACTCACAAGCAGCTTCACAAGTCTATCAGGAGCCCAAAAAGCGTTGTTTCACTAACATTCTCCCACTTTGTCAACAGTTCGAAGCTCACCTCCACCAGAGCCGGATGCAAAACGCCAGCATCAAGCTGGTCTCCGAGTCCACCAGTACCGAGGTGCAGTGGATCCTGCAGGAGGTGGCTGGGAACAACTTTGAGGAGTACGTATTTGTTTGTTATGGCTGTCTTTAAGTTACTGGAGACCTTGGGCGTTTAAGGATTAAGGGGCACTTTGCATGCATGGCCATCTTAAACTTACTGGAAGCCCCGCATATTTAAAAGATCAGAGATGAGGCTCTTTCCTGAAAAAAGGATATCGCATTATATAACTTTTCAGTGATTAACCCCCTTAAGCTCTGAGCACGTGCTCAGCCAGTGTCCAGTGAAAAAGAGGGACCTGATTGCATGACTAATGTCAGTCGTAGACTTCTCTTTCTTCTTTCTTATCGTAGCCTGAGAAATAAATGAGAATTTTCACCACTAATTACCAAGCAATCTCTATGTCATAATCATATTTAGTCTCCACTGCAAAAGCATGCCCTTTGTAATTTACCAGAGGCAAATGGTGGATTTGGCTTACCCAAATCTAGAAATCTTTGTTCTTCAGTCAACGTCATGATGACTCAAACGATTACTTAAATCTTTGGTGAAAGTGGATTTGGCCTACACAAATCTGTAAAAATCAGTAAGGGAGACTTATGTCATAGAATCTACTCAGGCTGGTTTATTTTATTGGATCGAAAATTGCTTAATAGACGTTCTTCATCTTTGGTGAAAGTGTGTAAAGTTAGCAATAACAATTCCCTCTTCCACCAGGTGGTATCCCATGCAGTTCCTGGTGGGAAAGGTGTTACAAGAAGTGCGGATCATCATAGAGATCACCCGCCCTAACATGGTGAACCCGCCGCTTCCTCTGCCGCATATCGCCATTGACAACATCAGGATGGTGGACTGCCTGCCGGAGCCCCCAGTCTTCAATGGGGAATGCCTTGTGGGGCAGCTGAAGTGCAAGATTATGAATGTGAGTAAATCATATCAGTTGAGCACCTTAAGTGGCTGTAAAAGACGCTGTTTTGCAACTAAAAGTATATATTTTGTTGGAGTAATTGAGTAGATACAAACGGCCACACTGTTAACTAGCCATTTCCGTTTTTGCTCTCGCTCTAATCAAATGGTGATTCTTTGCGATAAAACTAGATGACATGACCGGCAATGGGCAGTTAACACTGTTGCCGTTAGTACATTTAGGGGGATTTAAAGGTCTATACGCTGTACTCGTTTGGGTGTGACTCGTTGGGAACAAGCACCGAGTACCCATTCGTTCCATTTCTGAAAACGAAATGTATAAATTCTGTGATACTAACACCTTCTTTGTCTTACAGAAAGACTCGTGCATCAAGCTGCAGCAAGTCTGCGACCTGGTCAAGGACTGCGACGATGGAGCTGATGAGAATCAAAATTGTGGTAAGTTATTGACTATAAGGCTTCCTCTTTTTATATCTACACAACCGAATATCTAGACAAAGGCACGCATTTACACAAGGACCGGTGTTACGCTGCCCGTATCATCCACCTTCACCAGATCCTCGGTCCACCGAGTGGGAGAACTATACTAGGTTTTCTGGTCCGTGGTCGATAATCGAAAACTTTACTGCCCCAGCTAGTTATAAAAGATTCGATCAGCAGTTTTGAAGGCCATAGCTACTGGAGCACTAAAATCGTGTGTGATAATCACCCGTATTCACAAACGATGCTTGCTTAAGTGAAGCAGCAAATCGAACGCACAGCGTTGAATAGAGCTCTGTAATTGGTTCGTGTGTCACCCTGTGAGTCCACGCGCACTGTGAGACCTCATAGTAATGTTTGTAAATACGGGCGACTATGTTTTAAGCAAATTGTATGACTATCATGTTTGTTTGTAGACAAAATGCCGTACGGATCATACTGCAACTTCGAGCAAGATGCTTGCGGCTTCGAAAACGTGCCTCAGTGAGTACATAATCAATGTTTGCTCTATCAATGTTTCCAAACACGAATACAGCTAACAGCAGCAATTTTTCACAGGCCGATCCTAAGATGGTCGAGGCACAACGGACCCACCCCTACAGACAAAACAGGCCCGAATTTCGACCACACCTGCGGTCCCCCTGACCCTTACCCCACCCCTATGATCCCCCCATTAGTCCCAGCTCACATGAACTTCAGTTTGTCCACGTGCGTTGGATACTACTTCTTCGTGAACATGAACGTGACCGGGCCCAATAAGGAAAAGGCGGATTTCGCGTCGACGGCGACTATCAGGACTGTGGTCTTCAACCCACCCCCTATGGTGCATGGGAACCTCACTTCGAAGTACTACAATTGCTGTATGGTGAGTGTTGAAAATTGAATTTTTTGATGATGCACGAAATTGATGAAATGCATTTCTTTTTGCAAGAAAGGTTCCACAAAATGTACGATTTCTCGGCAAATGCCGTTCGTATGTAATTTGTTGGTCATGCAAAAGCTATTTGTGATGCTTCAGTAAAAAGGAGAATATAGCAAGCTATGTAAGAAGTTTAGGCCATATTTTCTAGAGATGCCTTTAGAGAGGGTCGGTTCTCGTTTCCTGCAATAGAGTGACCCAATGATGACAATGATGGTGTTGATAGCAAGCCAAGTAATGTTATGAAGATATCAAAAGCTGACGATAGTGACGTTTGGGAGTGACAAAAAGACCACATGTCATGTAGAACTTGGCTCTGTTTGCATCAGGGGTTATGTTAGATTATTAATTTTTATCGATAAATGATATTAAACGTCTCTTTTCCCAACAGATAAGGTTCTATTACCAACAAAACGGGCGAAACTACGGCTCGCTCAGCGTCGAAATGGTGGAGCTGACCAGGAACGGGAACAACACCAAGTCCATCTGGTTCTCCACCAAGGACAAGGGCGAGAACTGGTACCGGGCCTCGATATTCCTCCCCAACACCACTTCGAAGTAAGTCCTAAAATTTATTAAGAAACTTTTGACTTTACGTTGCATTTACGTCACGCCAGTGTTGGAGACTTGGAGTGCAAGTGTTCCCCAGTCGAAGCACATGATGTCGTGCCCTGCTTGCCCAAACAACTGCACGCAGGAAGATTTAATAAATGCTACTGATAACGCCACTCTTGTAGCGGAGTTTTGGGCTGATACTGTATAGGTTTGTTGATACGTCAAGAAGAAGTATCGCCAGTCTCACTGATATTCTATGTCGGATCTTACAGCTTTTATCTTATCCCCTTTGGCGTCCTGATTTAACCACTTGGGATCAGGAATTGTGACAGTTCCTTTACGTTAGCAAAAATCTGCTGCCATTATCAAAAATTTTCCAATATTATCTAGTCTGCCGTAGGCGTAGGGTGAGTGGGCTGAAGCCTTCTCAATGGAAAATCTTTCACTGCTCTCATCCTCTGAAGTGGTGGGTGGGTGGTGGCTTAATTGTTTATTAATATTCTATATTTGAAAATTATAAATAACTTGAAAAAATCGAACTGCCTAAGGGCAAGCGGAAGGTCGTGGGTTATATTCCCGCCTTAGGCAGTTCGATTTTTTCAAGTTACCTATTTATAATTTTCAAATTTGTTTGAGATTAACGCTAAAAATTAAATAAATATTCTTTATTATTCTGATGACGTAGTAAAAAAAATAGTTTTAATAAAATCCTGTCTCCTCCCTGAATACCACGTTACCACGTTCAATCTACAGCGGGATTCGGGAGTCGCAAAATTGAGTTTTACATTGCTAGTGTTTGAAAACTCCTGTCCTCTCCTTGTTCCGAATCCCACGTTCCCACGTTCAATCCATATCTGGATTCGCGACGCTTTGGCTGTTTCATACTATCCTGGGTTCAATTCCCAGGTGTCAATAACACTCAGTAAATTCACCTCATCATCATCATTTCAGCCACAGGACGTCCACTGCTGAACATACGCCTCCCCCAATGATTTTCACATCGCCCGATTGGTAGCCGCCTGCATCCAGCGCCTTCCTGCTTCCTTTATGATGTCGTGGACGTCCCACGAATTGGAAATTCACGTTCAATTGCAATAAATGTTCCTTTCTTTCCAGATACTACCTCGTCTTCAAGACACGAATGGGTATGCGTATCTACTCAGACTCCGCAATCGATGACTTCTCTATGGCTCCGGAGTGCTTCGGTCTAAACATAGACAAGGCAGAGCTAGGGGATTACAACTACTACGACCCCATGCTGGAGGAGAAGACGACCACTCATCCTGCATTCTTGAATAAAATATGTAAGTGTTCTGAAAAGTTTGGTTGCTTTGCTATGTAATGTGGCTAGATTAAAGGACGTAGCATACTTATCAACACGGAAAGGGATCGTAACCGTATCAACTCGAGGCGGTCAGTATTCTTTGTATGAAACTCCATACTGCGAGGTACACTATCCGCACCGTAACGTAAACGCCTCGCCTCGCGGTTGACAGCGCGCGAAGGGCGATGACAGCGCGCGAAAGGCGATACGGTATTGATCCCTTTCCGAGTTGATAAGTCTGCTATGATCTTAAAGGTTCACACATCAGTGAAGTCACAGTTCCGTTCGAAGAAACCTTAACTTCGAACTCCTCTTCTTCTGATTAATTTCTTTGCGGGTACAATGACAGTTTAACTTTCCCCCGGGACAAACTTGACCTTCACTGGTTGGGTTTTTATTGGCGGTCAAGCTGTAGATCCTGGCTACACAGGAGTTGCAGCGGTGGGAACGAGAGGTGGGAATAGTCCCGTATCAGTGCTACAGTGACACACGTCAGACTCAGTTAACGGAGCTTCAGTGATACGTCCGTGATTGCTGAAATCGGCACTGAAACTGAAATTGAGAGCACTGTGTCGTCACTGACATTTACAAGTGGGGATGCGTTCATAGAGAATGTATGAAAGAATATTTCGCACTGAGTCGGTACTGTGACTTCACTGATTTGTGTGAATCGATCTTTATATTATTACGCGGAATTAACCTGGCGAATAAATAACGTTGAGGACTGTTAATGAAACCTTACTTTAATACTGAACCGAGCGGCGTTAAAGTTTGTGAAAAATGACTAAAAAATACGTAAAATGAGTTATTAACACGGGAAACAGCTTGCAACTAAAATTCCAAGTGTCCGAATTACCTAAATACTACATTTTGGGCGAAAAAAATACTGAGTGGGCGACAAAAAATTAAGTGAGTGACTATTTAACCATTATGAGCTTCATAAAATACCATTTTGGGATGAGTGTGTGGGCTGCGGAAACAATATTGCTAGATACTGTACCACAGAGTAAAAAATACTCGTGTGAGTACGTAATACTTTACAAATTCCAAATTTCTTTTTTTTTTATTTGAGAAATATTTTCTATTCTAGCGTAATATTCTCCTGAAAATAGCGCAAAATGGCAAAAGTCTCCTGAAAATCGTTCGGCTCCTAGAAAATGGGGAGGAGCGAAGAAGTGACAACACTGTGCCTGTGTGGCTACGGGAGTTCGAAAGCAATAAAAAAAATTTAACCGATGCTTTTTTGTTGATTTGTTTGTATTTAAATTATAATGTTACAATCAATTATTTTCGGAATGTTACATTATTTTGTTTCAATAAAACAGAGTTTCTATTAATTAAATATGTTTGTTGATTTGTATTTTTTTGGAAATTATATTTTTAAAGTAAGGAATTTTTGGAATGTTACATTTTTGTTTCAATAAAATCAATTTTATAGTGTTTAAAATAAATGTTCAATTTATACTAATTGCTACTTTTAATTTATACGAAATAAAAACTTTTATTAATTTTAAGAGACCGATCTTAACCCGCTAATGACAGCGCGACGGATTTCGCACTGTAATTTGATGTGCAGTTAGACAGTTTATTGGGTTTCATTGAGAGTCTGCAGTTCATTACTCAATATATTATAATGAAACACTTCGATTAGGATGTTTACTGCATTTTTGTAACTTTATATACTGATGGTTCTGAATAAAAATAATAAAATTCACATTTTCAAGTCGCCCTTTCAGTATTTGTGTTCGCTCTATGTTTTTCGCCCATTTAGTAAGATATAAGTGCGTCACAATCAGTATCTTACCTTTAATTTTAATTTATATTCGATCATTAAGTATTTAAGCTTCAATGTTGCGTCAGTGATTCAATTCACACACGTCAGTACAATTCACGGAGTTTCAGTGGTGATTGCCGGTCCGTGAACACCTTGACGGAACTGTGGTTTCACGGATATNTTTAAAAATACAGCGGACAGTGCATGCAATAAAATTATTATTAAAAACACAACGCGCGCGACACTCGCGACGGATGGACTGCGAGGTTCGCTTAGAGCTCGTGTAAAGCGTGCGTCTGTGTGCGTGAGTCTGATTTCGAGCGTTTGTATGAAGCTTCCGTACTGTTTGATTTATCTACTGTGCTTTTACCCACCGCGTGCTGTTACCCCGAATGACTCTACTTATCGTCAGTTGCACCACCTAACTAACCGTACCTAAAACTAGGTATAAAGATAAAACCGGCGTTTTGGTATGGAATTTGACAGACTTGATGTTTGTTAAAGTAAGATGGTGCAACCCAGCCTTAGTAGGCTCCTAACTAAACCATAAAGCACTGAGTTTAAAATCGCTAGATCTTTAATTTGAAACAAAGTAAGGCACAGTTTCGTCTGTCGACTATACATATTGCAGACAGAGCCGCACGTCGCGCTAGTTTGTTTGTGCCAGTGACAGTCCGCAAATAGAAAGAGCTAAATCTCAGAATCTCACAGGGAAATGAACTTTGTGAGGTGTGGACGCGGTGCCAGCGATTTGATAAGCGGAGCGATATGACGACGACATCGTAAAGGTAGCAGGGAAGCGCTGGACGCAGGCCGCTACCAATCGATCAACATGGAAAGCATTGGGGGAGGCCTATGTTCAGCAGTGGACGTCCTATGGCTGAAATGATGAAGCGGAGCGATATGCAATATTAAAGTTGCTACTCTTCGGTTCCTTTCCTTAACTTAGCTTAACTTTAGGCTTATTTATGTATCTGAAAACAACTAAAACCTTGTCAGAAATAACTCAGGAATCGGTGAAATTAAAAACTAATTCTTATTAGGAACATAGAAATTACAAAACAGAGAGACTTTTAACAAGTGTGAAACAGATAAAATACATACCTACTTAAGTAGACCCTTAGAATTTGTGTTGACCATATTTTTTTTTATTTGGGAAACATACAGCTTACATAATATTTACAAAGACTTCAGTTATGTTTTCTTCTGTAACCTATAACTCATTCGGTTTTCTTTCCAGGTCATTTCCTGTACCTCCCCGTGGACCCCACCATGGAAAATATGGTGATCAAGTCACCTCCCTTCAGAGGGCTTTGGGAGTTCTGCAAGGTGAGTGCGATTTACCTCAGCTTTATAACAATGAGTTTTAAATAAAATTCTTTGTTGAAATGAATTAATTCTGCATTTTGCAGCCTTCGTTAGGTTTTTTCGCTTCATGAAGCGGTTTCAAAATGCGTTTGTCACGAATATTATTAGAATAAAATATTTTTTTATTGGATCTAAACATAACATTAATGTAACTTTAAATAGGTGTAAACTTTTTAGTTGTATAAATGGAACCAAAATGGTGTCCACTTAGCTTGAACCACAGCGACCGGTAAATCCTTTGGCATGAGGTTGCTTTACTTTGTCTACGCGCCTAATCTAATTTCCCAGCATTTCCTGCTTCGAGAAATCTCTAAAGGCCTATATTGACTGACATTGCAAGGTTGCTAGAGAGGCTGCATAATCTAGGATCGTTTTAAATAAATGACATCCTTCCCATGGATTTCCAAAACGACTGTTTCTGCGCTGCCCGCATCCAGGTACTTCTCGTGACCTTCACCAGTTCGTCGATCCACTTAGTGGGAGGTATGCCCACAGTACGTCTTTCGGCCCATGGTTGCAACTCGAAAACTTTTCTGCCCCAGCTCTACGAGCTATGTGCCCCGCCCACAGTCACTTATGTTAGGAAATTCTGGGGACTCAAGGATCAACAGTCGAGAAAACTCACAAGCAGCTTCACAAGTCTATCAGTAGCTCAAAAAGCGTTGTTTCACTAATATTCTCCCACTTTGTCGGCAGTTCGAAGCTCACCTCCACCAGAGCAGGATGCAGAACGCCAGCATCAAGCTGGTCTCCGAGTCCACCAGTACCGAGGTGCAGTGGATCCTACAGGAGGTGGCCGGGAACAACTTTGAGGAGTACGTATTTGTTTGTTATGGCTGTCTTTAAGTTACTGGAGACCTTGGGCCTTTAAGGATTAAGAGGCACTTTGCATGCAGGGCCATCTCAAACTTACTGGAAAACCCGCATATTTAAAAGATCAGAGATGAGGCTCTTTCCTGAAAAAAAAAGGATATCGCATTATAGAAGTTTTCAGTGATTAACCCCCTTAAGCTCTGAGCACGTGCTCAGCCAGTGTCCAGTGAAAAAGAGAGATCTGATTGCATGACTATGTCAGTCGCAGACTTCTCTTTCTTCTTTCTTATCGTAGCCTGAGAAATAAATGATAATTTTCACCACTAATTACGAAGCAATCTCTATGTCATAATCATCAGTAGGCCTAAGATGCGCGCCGCGATAAGCGGTTATCACGCCATTTTATCGATTTTCCCCATACATTTTGACGTCGATAAAAGTTATCACGGCGCGCATCTTAGGCCTACAGGTAATTTAGTCTCCACTGCAAAAGCATGCCCTTTGTAATTTACCAGAGGCAAATGGAGGATTTACCTACACAAACCTGGAAATCATTGAGAGGTCGTTTAGCAGTGGACACCCTATGACTGAAACGTGATATAATTATCTTTGGTAAAGTTAGCAATAACAATTCCCTCTTCCCCCAGGTGGTATCCCATGCAGTTCCTGGTGGGAAAGGTGTTACAAGAAGTGCGGATCATCATAGAGATCACCCGCCCTAACATGGTGAACCCGCCGCTTCCTCTGCCCCATATTGCTATAGACAACATCAGGATGGTGGACTGCCTGCCGGAGCCCCCAGTCTTCAATGGGGAGTGCCTGGTGGGGCAGCTGAAGTGCAAGATTATGAATGTGAGTAAATCATATAAGGTTGAGTACCTTATGGTACTTTAATAGATTCTGTTTAGCAACTAAAAATATATTTTGTTGGCTAATTGAGTAGGTAGTGTAGGTACATGGGGGGATAAAGGTACGCTGTACTCGTTGGGAACAAGCGCCGAGTACTAGTGTCTAATTATAATAATCACTACCTATGAGATACGAGACTTGACTAAGAATAGCGAAATACCAGCTACCTATGCTAACATTATTATGGTTGTTGTTTTCTAATTTCTACAAAAAATCTAAGTTATTAATCCCAGCAAAGCTCTACAATTTAGCGACTGTAATACAAAGTAATATACTTAAAAATCTTTTAAAAGAAACTAACAACTTACCTGAAAATTAAAAACGCGTGTGTGGCCAAGAGGCAATGATGCTGGCTGCATGTCCCCATTGTACAGTTTGATAGATTTCTCTTTTGTGCAAGAAAAGAGCTAGGTAGTAGTTAGTTCCATTTTCTGAAAAGGAAATGTATAAATTCGTGCATTTTTTTCCATTTTGGAGGTGATGAATGATACTAACACCTTCTTTGTCTTACAGAAAGACTCGTGCATCAAGCTGCAGCAAGTCTGCGACCTGGTCAAGGACTGCGACGATGGAGCTGATGAGAATCAAAATTGTGGTACGTATACAACGAGACTGTAAGACTTCTTTTTATATCCTCGCTTTCACCAAATGCTGCTGGACGGACATTGGCCTACTACCCCATGGATTGCCCCACGGTGCCCGTATCATCCACCTTCACCAGATCGTCGGTGTACCGAGTGGGAGACCTACACTACGTTTTCCGGACCATGGGCGCCCCTCGAAAGCTTTTCTGCCCCTGCCTAATTAAATCTGTTCAGCAGTTTTTAAGTCTGTACTAGTTTTCAAGTCAGATACTGGAGCATCGTGTGTGATCAGTGATACTTTAAGCAATTTGGATAACTATTATGTTTGTCTTCAGACAAAATGCCGTACGGATCGTACTGCAACTTCGAGCAAGATGCCTGCGGCTTCGAAAACGTGCCTCAGTGAGTACTTAATTTGCTCTATCAATATTTCTTAACACGAACATTAACTAATAAAAGCAATTTTTCACAGGCCGATCCTAAGATGGTCGAGGCACAACGGGCCTACCCCTACAGACAAAACTGGCCCGAATTTCGACCACACCTGCGGTCCCCCTGACCCTTACCCCACCCCTATGATCCCCCCATTAGTCCCAGCTCACATGAACTTTAGTTTATCCACGTGCGTTGGATACTACTTCTTCGTGAACATGAACGTGACCGGGCCCAATAAGGAAAAGGCGGATTTCGCGTCGACGGCGACAATCAGGACTGTGGTCTTCAACCCACCTCCTATGGTGCATGGGAACCTCACTTCGAAGTACTACAATTGCTGTATGGTGAGTGTTGAAAATTGAATTTTTTGATGATGCACGAAATTGATGAAATGCATTTCTTTTTGCAAGAAAAGTTCCACAAAATGTACAATTTCTCGGCAAATGCCGTTCGTATGTTTATTTTTTTATCCACAACAAAAAAGCTCTTGGCCAAAAAGCTATCTCATCTGATGGTAAGTGACGATCAGGCCGAAGATGGGAGCTTCACCCGGAATCCTTAACCACAGAGGAACTGGCTATCTTACCTCCAACTGCCGGAACACAACAATACTGTTAACATTATTGTTATGGTGACAGATTTATATAAGATGGTGGTAGTTGGCCAGGCGGACTTAAAACAAGCTCTATCACCAACTAAACCAAACAGAAAAATCTGCCCACAAAATTTGTTGGTCATGTGAAAGCTCTTTGTGCTGCTTCAGTAAAAAGGAGAGTATAGCAAGTTATGTAAGAAGTGTAGGCCAAATTTATAACTTTTTATTAGTAAGGGGATTATAATAACGCAACTTTTTTCCCAACAGATACGGTTCTATTACCAACAAAACGGGCGCAACTACGGCTCGCTCAGCGTCGAAATGGTGGAGCTGACCAGGAACGGGAACAACACCAAGTCCATCTGGTTCTCCACCAAGGACAAGGGCGAGAACTGGTACCGGGCATCGATATTCCTCCCCAACACCACTTCTAAGTAAGTCCTAGAATTTAGAAACTTTTGACTTTACGTTGCATTTACGTCACGCCAGTGTTGGAGACTTGGAGTGCAAGTGTAGTTGTGTTCCCCAGTCGATGAAGTACATGGTGACGTGTCTTGCGTGCTCAAACAACTGCACGCAGGAAGATTTAATGAATGCTACTGATAACGCCACTCTTGTAGCGGAGTTTTGGGCTGATACTGTATAGGTTTGTTGTTGAATACGACAAGAAGAAGTATCGCCAGTCTCACTGATATTCCATGTCGGATCTTACAGCTTTTATCTTATCCCCTTCGGCGTCCTGATTAAACCACTTGGGATCAGGAATTGTGACAGTTCGTTTACGTTAGCAAAAATCTGCTGCCATTATCAAAAATTTTCCAATATTATCTAGTCTGCCGTAGGCGTAGGGTGAGTGGGCTGAAGCCTTCTCAATGGAAAATCTTTCACTGCTCTCATCCTCTGTAGTGGTGGGTGGGACTTAATTGTTTATTAATATTCTATATTTGAAAATTATAAATAACTTGAAAAAATCGAACTGCCTAAGGCGGGAATTGAACCCACGGCAAGCGGAAGGTCGTGGGTTCAATTCCCGCCTTAGGCAGTTCGATTTTTTCAAGTTATTTATAATTTTCAAATTAGTTTGAGATGCGACTCTTAACGCTAAAAATTAAATAAATATTCTTTATTCTGATGACGTAGTAAAAGAATAGTTTTGAAAAATCCCTGTCCCCTCCCTGAATACCACGTTACCACGTTCAATCTACATAGGGATTCAGGAGTCGCAAAATTGAGTTTTACATTGCTGGTGTTTGAAAACTCCTGTCCTCTCCCTGTTCCGAAATCCGAATCCCACGTTCAATCCATATCTGGATTCGCGGCTCTTTGGCTGTTTCATACTATCCTGGGTTCAATTCCCAGGTGTCACAACACTCGGTAAATTCATTTCATCATCATCTTCATTTCAGCCACAGGACGACGTGAACATAGGCCTCCCCCAATGATTTCCACATCGCCCGGTTGGTAGCGGCCTGCATCCAGCGCCTTCCTGCTACCTTTATGAGGTCGTGGACGTCCCACGAATTGGAAATTCACGTTCAATTGCAATAAATGTTTCTCTTTCCAGATACTACCTCGTGTTCAAAACACGTATGGGTATGCGTATCTACTCAGACTCCGCAATAGATGACTTCTCTATGGCACCGGAGTGCTTCGGTCTAAACATAGACAAGGCAGAGCTAGGGGATTACAACTACTACGACCCCATGCTTGAGGAGAAGACGACCACTCATCCTGCATTCTTGAATAAAATATGTAAGTGATCTTACAAGTTTGGTTGCTTTGCTATGTAATGTAGCTAGATTAAAGGACGTAGCATACTTATCAACACGGAAAGGGATCGTGACCATATCATCTCGAGGCGGTCAGTATTATTTGTATGAAACTCCATACTGCAACGCACACTATCCGCACCGTAACGTAAACGCCTCGCCTCGCGGTTGACAGCTCGCGAAAGGCGATACGGTGTTCATCCCTTTCCGAGTTGATAAGTCTGCTATGATCTTAAAGGTCCATTCACACATCAGTGAAGTCACACTTCCGTCCGAAGAAACCTTAACTTCGAACTCCTCCTATGTTCTTCTGATTAATTTCGTTGCGAGTCCAATGACAGTTACTTTTCCCGGGACAAACTTGACCTTCACTGGTTGGTTTTTTATTGGCGGTCAAGCTGTAGTTCCTGGCTACACAGGAGTTGCAGCGGTGGGAACGAGAGGTGAGAATAATCCCGTATCAGTGCTACAGTGACACACGTCAGACTCAGTTCACGGAGCTTCAGTGATACGTCCGTGATTGCTGAAATCGGCACTGAAACTGAAATTGAGAGCACTGTGTCGTCACTGACATTTACAAGTGGGGATGCGTTCATAGAGAATGTATGAAAGAATATTTCGCACTGAGTCGGTACTGTGACTTCACTGATTTGTGTGAATCGATCTTTATACGCGGAATTAACCTGGCGAATAAATAACGTTGAGGACTGTTAATGAAACCTTACTTTAATACTGAACCGAGCGGCGTTAAAGTTTGTGAAAAATGACTAAAAAATACGTAAAATTAGTTATTAACACGGGAAACAGCTTGCAACTAAAATTCCAAGTGTCCGAATTACCTAAATACTACATTTTGGGCGAAAAAAATACTGAGTGGGCGACAAAAAATTAAGTGAGTGACTATTTAACCATTATGTGCTTCATAAAATACCATTTTGGGATGAGTGTGTGGGCTGCGGTAACAATATTGCTAGATACTGTACCACAGAGTAAAAAATACTCATGTGACTCTACGTAATACTTTACAAATTCCAAATTTCTTTTTTTTTTACTTGAGACATATTTTCTATTCTAGCGTAATGAATATTCAGGAGAATTCCTGAAAATAGCGCAGAATGGCAAAAGTCTCCTGAAAATCGTTCGACTCCTAGAAAAGGGGGGAGGAGCGAAGAAATGACAACACTGTGCCTGTGTGGCTACGGGAGTTCGAAAGCAATAAATAAAAAACCGATGCTTTTTTTGTTGATTTGTTTGTATTTAAATTATAATGTTACAATCAATTATTTTCGGAATGTTACATTATTTTGTTTCAATAAAACAGAGTTTCTACTAATTAAATATGTTTGTTGATTTGTATTTTTTTGGAAATTATATTGTTAAAGTAAGGAATTTTTGGAATGTTACTTTTTTGTTTCAATAAAATCAATTTGTTTAAAATAAATGCTTAATAATTTATTCTAATTGCTACTTTTAATTTACACGAAATAAAAACTTTTATTAATTTTACGAGACCGTTCTTAACCCGTTAATGACAGCGCGACGGATTTCGCACTGTAATTATTAAAATTTGATGTGCTTCAGTCAATCAATCAATTACTTTAGCAGTTTATTGGGTTTCATTGAGAGTCTGCAGTTCATTACTCAATATATTATAATGAAACACTTCGATTAGGACGTTTACTGCATTTTTTTAACTTTATACATATACTGATGGTTCTGAATAAAAATAATAAAATTCACATTTTTAAGTCGCCCTTTCAGTATTTGTGTTCGTTCTCAGTCATTCGCCCATTTAGTATTAGTGCGTCATAATCAGTAATTTTTACCCTTAATTTTAATTTATATTCGATCATTAAGTACTTAAGCTTCAATGTTGCGTCAGTGATTCAATTCACACACGTCAGTACAATTCACGGAGTTTCAGTGATACGTCCGTGATTGCCGGTCCGTGAACAACTTGACGAAACTGTGGTTTCACGGATATGTGTGAATCAACAGTAATAGCTTAAAATTAAAAAAAAATGATCTAGATTTAGTTGTTCAGTAGCTTAAAATTAAAAAACCTCCCAACCTTAACCCTTAGAACCACCATAACCACTCAACCCTTTCAGTCTACCGTTTCACCACTTGCGGGGCAACCGGTCGATACGGCCCCAACCAGACGATGTGCGACGCGGCGTATAACAACACGCCCGTCACCGTGTCGGTCATCCAGACCCCGCCGCATCAGGGGATTCAAGTGTGGGAGGTGCCGGCTGAGGGGTTGTATACGTGAGTATTTTGATTTACAGTTTTTAGCTGGTTTTAGAATCGCTCGCTGTTCGTCGGCGCTGACAAATCAAAATGTATGGTAATGAGGGCTATCGTTTTAGCGCTCACCAGTTTGCGTCACTGTAGAGTAAGGTCCTGTCACTTGCTAGTAGCGAAGACAGTGGCACCATCTGGTGAGTGCTAAAGTGGTAGGAGGACTATCGCATTTGCACTCATCAAGATGGCGCCACTGTAGAGTAAGGTCCTGTCAATCGCCAGGGGTGCCAACTGTTAAGTATAAAAACGATAGCCCTCATTGAAGGGAACTTTCCTGAGTGACGATGATCGCTCGGTGCCGACGCTTCATATATTTCGGCTGTCAGCGCTGACGGTCAGCGTGCGTCAGCGTGATTCTAAAACCAGCCTTACGCCCGTATTCACAAACGATGCTGGCTCAAGTGAAGCAGCAAATCGAACAGCGTTGAATAGAGCTCTGTGATTAGTTCGTGTGTCAGCACCGTGCGTCCACGCGCACTGTGAGACCTCAGTAATGTTTGTGAATACGGGCGTTAGCTAACTATTAAATAAGGCTTACATCGTCTTTGTATAGTTAGATTTTAGATGAAAGTTAAACACAAGAGTTGCCCATTACAAAAATATTTTAAAAAAATGGAAGGTACCTCCTACCAAATACAAATTACATGAAAAAAGGCACCAAGATGTCAGGGTTTCGAACTGATCACTGGAAGACATTATATCGATACTAACTTCTACGTCGCCATGTTATCGAGCAGCCTTAGAACCATTGCCATGATGGGCCATTTCGTCGAAAAGTGCATTTCGACGAAATTGCCTACATCGGTAAATTAACCCGTCGGTTCTTCGTTCGGCGACGTAGAAGTCAGCATCGATAAAATGTCTTCCAGTGATCAGTTCGAAACCTTGATATCAAGACACCGACCTTATTCATCCTCCTACATCAGCACATCTACTTAGAAGATATCAAAAGAAGTGGATCAAGAACAAAAGCATCAAGACCTCCCGATCCCTCGGCCCCCGGTACATCAGCGCATTTGAGTGTGGAGTATCACTTGAATGCGCTGGTATATCGGGGTTCGTGTGGCAGTCATCATGCTGGCAACTTTGTCGAAGAAAAGAAAAGAAGACGTCACTGAACTGCCTCAAGATCGAAGAAATTACTACAAATTACGTAGTTCAGTTTTTATATTTAGTTTTTTTGCAACATGTTTAGCGAGTATTAAACACTGTATTTGCCTATTGTATTCCATTTACTTTGGTAAATTGCTCCTGCAGTGGAGATTAAATTGTTTATCATCAGGTATTTGCGATGTATTTATAACAGCGTCTAGAGATTTCATCTGTATTCTAAAGGGTAATCCAATTTGAGGTTCCCAGATATAAATGAATCATCCTTTAATGTAGCTATAGGTCACGAGGATACAACTATAAACACTATAATTTATGTAACCATCTACTAATACTTACACTATAATATGTAATACTTGAAGGTATAAGTCCAAGATGGACTGCAGACTGTAACCGCAGGCGACTCGAAGCTGCAGTTGACCGCAGTGAGAAACAAAAAGTCGAAGAAACTGTGGTGGCTTGCAGTTTGTGGTCTGCAGTCCATCTTGGACTTGTACCTGTTTTTTAAAGTCTACAATGACTTGGACATTTTCGGAAATGTAATTTTAAGCACGCGTTGAACTGGAAATGACATTTTAAACAAGTGTTCAACGCGCCTTTAACTGTTCGTAGCCTTAAATATTCACTTACCCGCAGGATCATAGCCACGGGCGCGTCGGGCGGACTGGGCTCCGCTTGGGCGGGCGTCTCGCACGGGGCGCAGGCGCGCGGTCTCTTCGAGCTTCATCGCAGCGAGCATGTTTATATGCTGGTCGGGCAGCAAGGGCTTAACGCCTGCAAGAAGGTAAGTGATCACTTAATTTGTTATTACACAAATTACTAATATTCCTATTAGCCCCTCGTACTAAGCTAAATATGCTTGTATCACGAGTGAGCTCACCACAATATTCGAACGGCGGCGGGGACCGAGCCCGTGTTCCCCGGATCACGAGTCGGCCAGTCCGGCCCCCTCACCGTTCGGCTATCATCCATACTTAAAACCTTACTATGAGACCGCGACTGTTATTTGATTTTAACCAATTTATCAGTTCGCGAGACAGAGACTTAAATAACGACTGCAGTCGCCCATCTAGTCTCATGTTTGTCACTGTCTGCTTCCGCAAGGCGAAATAAGGTGTCGTAGGCGACTGAGGGAGAAATATGTGAAAATCAGTCTTCTCCAACCCGTGTGGCCAAATACTCCATGGTAATGCTGGTGAGGCAGCAAGGGCTTAACGCCTGCAAGAAGGTAAGAGATCATTTAAATCCATATACTATTCGTCTTCTTCTTCACTCTTGGCAGAGTGGTTGTGGTCGTCACACTTGATTTGGTGGCAAGCTTGATCAGGATGGCGGATGCAAGCTTCACTCGGAATCCTCAACCACAGAGGAACTGCCTTCGTTTCAGCCAAATGACGTCCACTACAGGACAAAGGCCTCCCCCAAGGATTTCCATAACGACCGGTCCTGCGCTGGTCAGGAACTGCCTATTTTACCTCAAACACTAACGCTACTATGTAATATTTCATGACTATATCCCACTGAACTATCATCCTTGACAATATCCTTTACCTCCGCAGACTCTATCAGCGCAAGAGAGTCAGGACTGCTCCAAGAAGCAGAACGACTCTCTCCAGATCTTCACCAGCAAGACGCACGAGGTCCGAAACACCCACGTCACGGACGGAGGCGGCGGCGGCGGTGGAGGCACTTACGTGTTCTTGGTAAGTCCATATTCATTCCCCTTTAGTTATAAAACAGTCCTATATAGCACCCTTTTAACAGCGAAATTACACATTATCCGTGGTACAGCCTGCGAATCTGAAATCTTCTAGTATCAACATGGCGCGAGAGGTATTAGCAGCTTAGTAGGTATGCAAAAATATGCAAGCAGGTTTCAAAACTTAGTATTTTAAGCTTCAATCTTCTTTCTTGTAAAAAGCAGCAGTAATCCAGGCCACTCTTTCCCTCTGGAAACGTGTCCAGCCAGGGCCCCAGAGGGCCTTGTGTGAGTTTTCATCAAACGCGCTCATTAGTGGGCGCGTCAAAAAATTACATTNACAGAGACAGAGACCTAAGTCAAGTAACGGCTGCAGTCGCCCATCTAGTCTCTTGTCTCTCTCTCTTCCACAAGGCGAAATAGGGTGTCGTAAGAGGCGACTAAGGGAGAAATATGTGAACATCAGACTTCCCCAACCCGTGTGACCAAATTCTCCATGGTAATGCTGCTGAGGCAGCAAGGGCTTAACGCCTAAATGAAGGTAATGGGTCACTTAAAACCGTATTCGGCGACTAAGGGAAAAATATGCGACCATCAGGCTTCCCGTGTGTCCAGGGTGGGGAGTATAGACCAAATATTTACTCAATTTTTCTCTGGTAAATTAGAGGTTCGTCCTCCTCCTCCAGTGGAGACTGAAAAAGCTGATGCCGTTGATGATGAATGTGTGTGAAAGTCACTTTGTCTGTTAATATCTCTCACACCGGATAAACTTTGGCCTGTACCTCACTTAGTGAAAAGTAATAATCTTGCCGAATGTGGCACATAGCTTCACATGGTAAACCACATAGGAACTGGCTATATTATACTGCCAAAATCCTATACCACTGAAATAATTGCGAGTATGATCCCTGAACATTTCCACTTTCTCCGCAGACTCTGTCGGCGCAAGAGAGCCAGGACTGTTCCAAGAAGCAGAACGACTCTCTCCAGATCTTCACCAGCAAGACGCACGAGGTCCGAAACACCCACGTCACGGACGGAGGCGGCGGTGGTGGAGGAGGCACTTACGTGTTCTTGGTAAGTCCATATTCATTCCCCTTTAGTTATAAAACAGTCCTTTAAAACACCCTTTTAACAGCGAAATTACACATATCCGTGGTACAGTCTGCGAATCTGAAATCTTCTAGTATAAACATGGCGCGAGAGGTATTAGCAGCTTTGTATGCAAAAATATGCAAGCAGGTTTCAAAACTCAGTATTTTAAGCTTCAATCTTCTTTCTTGTAAAAATCAGCAGTAACCCAGGCCACTCTTTCCCTCTGGAAACGTGTCCAGCCAGGGCCCCAGAGGGCCTTGTGTGAGTTTTCATCAAACGCGCTCATTAGTGGGCGCGTCAAAAAATGACATTACATTCATGACGGATTGAACAGCGCTCCTAGCGAGAAACGTTCAAAAGCTAAAATTTTCATACATTTGTAAACTCACACTCAGCCCACAGTTCATCCGAACAGCTTTCGAGACTATAGTTTTGAGCTTTGTTTCTCCATTTTCAACCTTCAATCTTCTTCTTCTAGCTGGACAAAGAAGGCCACTCAGTGCCGCTGCTAGTTGGTGGTGGCGGCGGCGGCATCTCAGTCGGGGTGTTCCGCGATGATGGCTCGCAACATGCCCGCGCGCATACCAACGCTACCCCGGAGTCCGGGTATATGTACGGACAGCCGGGGCGGACTTCTGGTGAGTGACAAACTAGCCTTTTATCTTGGGCGTGTTCTAGAAACATTTTTTTATGCTAGACAAGGCAGGTATTTAACTATGTTGGATATGAATATGAATGATATTTTATGTTGGATATCCTGTTGGTATTGGCAAGCTGAAGGTCCTGTAGTTCGCCAGCTGAAGTTGCAATTTTCTTGCAACATGCAATATAGCACGCAGAACTGACGGCCGATGGGGCAGCAAGATTTTGTAATAGAGGTCATACACCGATTAGCGCAGTGGATGGACAGATGGGCTCATACAGGTTGCAGGAAGGCGCTGGATGCAGGTGCCTACCAATAGGGAGATGTGGAAATCATTGGGAGCAATTATATGTTCAACAGTGAACGTCCTGTGCTGAAATGATGAACTTGCGGGTCTGTTTCAATAGCCCCGGAGGACACCGTCGGTTTCGACGTGTCCCACATACATAACCCATTGGCTGTCTCCATCGCCAATCACCTGATCATGATGAATGTATTAATCAGCATCATCATCATCAACAACAGCCCTTTAAAGTCTACTGCTGGACTATGAGCCTCCTCCACTATAGTGGAGGGTTTTGCCATAATCCCCACGCTTGGCAGGCGGGTTGGAGATCGCAGTTTAAATGATTGATGTTTCAGAGAGCGCTGCTGCCCGTTCTCTGTTTGATGTGTAGTCCCTAAGCCCGGGAAGAGTAGGGGTTGGGGACAATGTATTCTACTTTGCCGTCATCACACGGCTTAGAATGTATTGGCGGATTTACACTACGCGGAAATTAGCCAAGTCAAGTCAAAAAAACTGATGAAAACTGATGACTGAAATTCATTCATTTTTCATCCCCACCCCACTGTTTTTTTGACTTGACTTGGCTAATTTCCGCGCAGTGTAAAAGCGCCTTATTAATGATGTCTGATATCCAGGTGCCGGCGGCGGCTGGGTCGGTCGCTCAGGGCCAGTAACGCCAGGTCACGAGGCGGTACGAGGCGCGGCGGTCCACGAGGGCGGCGCGGGCGGGCTGGCGTGCGCGGGCGCGGNAGTGACAACTGATAACTAGCTTGCTATCTTGAACTCTTATCTGTTCTAGAAACTACTTGATATCTTGAACCCTTATGCTTCTTCTACAAACTATGTTAGGTGTGAATAACAACTGGAATAGCAAGCTGAAGTTGCAATGGGCTGTGTACATATCAGGCAGAACTGACGACCGATGGGGTAGCAAGATTTTGCAATGGAAGTCATATACCGATTAGCGCAGCGGATGTCCTGTCCACCCACAAGATGGCATACATACTGGTTGCAGGAAGGCGCTGGATGCAGCTGCTTACTAACCTGTGGAAATCATTGGGGTAGGCCTATGTTTAGCAGTGTACGTCCTGTGGCTGAAATGATGAGGATGAACTTGTAGCTCCGTTTGAATGGCCCCGGAGGACACCGTCGGTTTAGACGTGTCCCACATACATAATAATCCATTGGCCGTCTCCATCGGTACCTGATAATGATGAATGTACAGTCCACTGCTGGACTATGAGCCTCCTCCACTATAGTGGAGGGTTTTGCCAAAAACCCCACGCTTGCCAGGCGGGTTGGAGATCGCAGTTTGAAAGATTGATGTTTTTCAGAGAGCGCTTCTGCCCGTTCTCTGTTTGATGTGTAGTCCCTAAGCCCGCGTGGGAAGTAGGGGTTGGTGACAAATGTATTCTACTCTGCCGTCATCACACGGCTTAGAATGTATTGGCGGATTTACACTACGCGGAAATTAGCCAAGTCAAGTCAAAAAAACTGATGAAAACTGATGACTGGGGATGAAATTTATTCATTTTTCATCCCCACCCCACTGTTTTTTTGGACTTGACTTGGCTAATTTCCGAAAAGCGCCTTATTAATGATGTCTGATATCCAGGTGCGGGCGGCGGCTGGGTCGGTCGCTCAGGGCCAGTAACGCCAGGTCACGAGGCGGTACGAGGCGCGGCGGTTCGCGAGGGCGGCGCGGGCGGGCTGGCGTGCGCGGGCGCGNCCTCCTCCTTTTTTTTGAAGTCGGTTGAAAAAAATACAAATACGTTATAGGCATTGTCATCGCTATGCGATTGATCTCTTGCCGTGGACGAATGACCAATTCGCATAATAACTCGCGGCCCTCGAGGACACCGTCAGTTTTTAGAGGGTATACCCCGCCCTTATGGTTGATACGGGACTATACAGTGGGTACGGGACTATTCCCACCTCTCGTTCCCACCACTGCAACTCCTGTGTAGCCAGGATCTACAGTTTGACCGCCATAAAAACCCAACCAATGAAGGTCAAGTTTGTCCCGGGGAAAGTTAAACTGTCATTGGACCCGCAACGAAATTAATCAGAAGAACGTAGGAGGAGTTCGAAATTAAGGTTGCTGCCATTGGCCAGTGGGTACGCAAGGAATTTCCCAACGAAAAAAAAAGCAGACGACAGTTATTAAAGAAGCATTATTGAGAGAGATTTTCCGTGCAAACTTTCAGCTCCATAAGACGCCTATTTTATAAATTGTGCCACAAAAATCAGCCTATGTCCAATCAAAAATTGTTGTAACCGTTTAGTCTTGAAATCATTCCTTTTAATGTTACTCGTATGTGAACATTACGAACGATTTAATTTGATTTCAAAATTACAGCAACTCATCATCAGTGTACCTACCATGAGTTTACGTTAGGTGTGCTCGCTAGCGAGTACGTCAAAAAACTCTATGAAGATTTTGTTTCTTGAAAGTAGCCGCTAGGGGCGCTGCACAATGGCATGTATTTAAATGATCTTTTTAAATTAGCGAAAANGGCGTGCGCGGGCGCGGCGCACGGCGGCTTCGGCGGCGGCGGCGGCGGCTGTCTGCGCGGCGGCGGCGGCGGCGGCTGGCTGGGTGAGTGGGAGTAGTCTTACCCAGTGTCTTAGGTCAGCGAAGAGCGCGAAGGTGTTTTAAAGGCAGCGACGAGAACAATAGCCACGCGACCCGTGACGTAAGAGACTTACTTAGTGTCTTAAGGCAGCGATGAACCACAGGGAATACTCTTACGCGGTATCCTAAGTCAGCGAGGAACGCGACGCAATGTGACGCAGCAAACGCGATGAGACCAATGATGGCATTCCTTGCTCCGATCTAGCTACGTGCTAGTACACGGCGCGACGCTATGGTCTCCTAAAGACAGCGACGGCAGTAAGAGAGTAGACTTGCACAATGTCTTAAATCAACGAAGAGCATGATCGGACCAATGGCATCCCCTACTTGCGGCCTATATGCCAGTATGCAGCGAGAAGCGACGGTCACGAGCGCGTCACGCTCGTCACCGACTAGGACTCTGAGCTAGCGGCGGCTGTTAAGAGAGCGACGGAGGGAGCCGAAGGCTGGTATGTGTTCAAAGAGCAGGTACTTTCAGCAGTAACTGTTTAAAGAGAGGCGGCTGGCGCTAGTTCGATAAAGTAAGATGCTTGAGGAGCGACGGAAGAATCTCTTGGTTGGAATCTCCAGCTGTCTAAGCGGCAGGTAAGTAAGCCAGGCCGCTCAGGTCCAGTAACACCAGGTCACGAGGTTGTACGAGGCGCGGCGGTGCGCGAGGGCGGCGCGGGCGGGCTGGCGTGCNGAGCGGGAGTAGACTTACCCAGGGTTTTCAAGCAGTGATGAGGCGCAGAGAGCACTCTTATGCAGTACCTTAGGTCAGCGAAGAGCGCAATGGTGTTTTAAAGGCAGCGACGAGAACAATAGCGGCGGCGGCTGTCTCTGCGGCGGCGGCGGCGGCGGCTGGCTGGGTAAGAGAACTTGGAACTCCCCAAGAGTTCACTTAGCGGCGACTACTTGAGTGTGAATTAGAGAGTAGACTTACCTAGTCTCTTAAGTACGCGACAAGCGCGATGCGACGACGCGACAAGCGCGATGAATCAATAGCATCCCCTGCTTGCAGCCTAGGTGCCAGTATGCGACGCGACAGTCTCCTGAACTAGGTGAGTAAGAAAGCACATTATAGGAGGTGCCTTTAGTCCACGACGAGCGTGACTGAATCAATGGCATCCCTCGCTTGTGGCCTAGTTAANTGGCGTGCGCGGGCGCGGCGCACGGCGGCTTCGGCGGCGGCGGCGGCGGCTGTCTGCGCGGCGGCGGCGGCGGCGGATGGCTGGGTGAGTTGTAGTAGACTAGCCAGTGTCATAGAGCAGCGACGAGCGCGATGGTGTTTTAAAGGCAGCGACGAGAACAATAGCGACGCGACGCGTGACGTAAGAGAGACTTACTTAGTGTCTTAAGGCAGCCGACGGCGACGTGACGCAGAGAGAACTCTTACACAGTACATGGAGACAAACGCGATGATACCAATGGCATCCCTTGCTTATAGCCTACGCCATTACACAGCGCGACGGTCTCCTTATACCTACTCATCCACACTAATACACTTAGAGGCGTCCTAGGCTAAAGTAAGCGACAAGCGCGACGACACTCTCGTTGCTGACACTGTTTGGGGCAGCTCGGCTTTTGGTAGCTAGGTTGGTAAGAGAGCTTATGCGCAGTCTTAAGTCAGCGACGCGACGTGCGTGACCAAAGCAATGGCATCTGTTTCTAGCGGCGTACTGGCCAGTATGCGGCGAGACAGGACATGATCCAAGTCAGCCACGAGCGCATTGCGCTCGTTACTGACTTAGGACTCGTCATTGGAGGCGACATTCTAGAAGCGCTAATTCGATGAATGAAGTAACATGCTTGAGGAGCGGTACGCTTAGTGGCAGCTGTCTAAGTAGCAGGTGAGTAAGCCAGGCCGCTCTGGCCCAGTAACACCGGGTCACGAGGCGGTACGAGGCGCAGCGGTGCGCGAGGGGGGCGCGGGAGGGCTGGCGTGCGCGGGCGCGGCGCACGGCGGCTTCGGCGGCGGCGGCGGCGGCTGTCTGCGCGGCGGCGGCGGCGGCGGATGGCTGGGTGAGTGGGAGTAGACTTAGCTAGTGTCTTAAGGCAGTGACGAACGCGATGTGATCCAGAGAGTTCGGTATCCTAGTTCAGCAAGGAGCGCGATGGTGTTTTAAAGGCAGCGACAAGAACAATAGCGACGCGACGCGTGACGTAAGAGACACTTACTTAGTGTCTTAAGGCAGCGATGAACCACAGGGAATACTCTTACGCGATATCCTAAGTCAGCGAAGAACGCGACGCAATGTGACGCAGCAAACGCGATGAAACCTATGGCATTCCTTGCTCTGATCTAGCTACGTGCTAGTACACGGCGCGACGGTCTCCTTATACCTAGTCATCCACACTAATACACTTAGAGGCGTCCTAAAGTCAGTGCCGTAACTAGGGCGGTGCCAGCGGTGCCCAGGCACAGGGCGCAGACCCTGGAGGGGCGCAGAAATGACCAGACCATTGGTAGCTAGGTTGGTAAGAGAGCACACTTATGCGGAGTCTTAAGTCAGCGACGCGACGTGCGTGACCAAAGCAATGGCACCTGTTTCTAGCGGCGTACTGGCCAGTATGCGGCGAGATGACATGATCCAAGTCAGCCACGAGCGCATTGCGCTCGTTACTGACTTAGGACTCGTCATTGGAGGCGACATTCTAGAAGCGCTAATTCGATGATGATGATGACGACGCGTGGCGTGAGTAAGAGCGTGATCAAACTAATGGCATCCTTCAGTACATATCCTAGGTCAGCGAGGAGACAACGCGATGAAACCAATGGCATCCCTAGCTTGCAGCCTAGTTAAGTAGGTAACTAGTATGCGGCGAGACGCGATTGTCTCCTAAAAACAGCAACAAGAGAGACACACCGATATAATGATGGCAACTACCACGAGCGCGTCGCGCTCGTTAGTGACTTAGGACTCCTTATTGGCAGCGCTGTAAAGAGAGCAATGGGAATAGCAGAAGGTTATATATTCTAAGAGTAGGTACTTTCAGCAGTAGTAACTTGAGGAGAAGTAGCTGGCTGGGTAAGTTTCAAAAAAGGCGACATTTCGATGCATGCGACAGCGCTAGTTCGATGAATGAACTAAGATGCTTGGGGAGTAGTGGAGAGGGCTAGTCCAACTGGTGGGATAGTCCAAGAGTACACTTAGTGGCAGCTGTAACCCAGTAACACCGGGATACGAGGCGGTACGCGGCGCGGCGGTGCGCGAGGCGGGCTGGCGTGCGCGGGCGCGGCGGCGGCGGCTGGCTGGGTGAGTTGTAAAAGAATCAACAGCCCCAGCAGTGTCACTATCAGAATGCCGATTCAAGATTCGAGGAACACTAGTTCGAACTTCTCTGCTGAATGGTGGGTGAGTTCCTAGAGTAAGCGGAGACTCCGTGACTCTCCAACTGTCTTAAGGCAGTGACGAATCAATAGCATCCCTTGATCTTCCGAAATTGATGTAAAATCTTGGTTTGCTTACTCACGAAAATTACAAATATCAGCCTAGACCGTCAGTGTGTTGTGGATTATGTCCATCATGTCCAATATGGGTCCATACCTTCTTAGCAGCTGCTTGACTCCTCAAGCGGAGGTAAAAGGCGGGGTGTATTCCAAGAGTCAAGTACGAGTACACTTAATGGTACCTAGCTGCCTGAGAGGCGACGGTGGTGAATCTTATTATGCACCTTATATTATGTCTACTTTTTGTACTAACATGGCAATGTCTTCTCTCAGGAGGCAACACGAACGAGGGCGAGGGCCAGCACGGCAGCGGCGGCTGGTCGCACATCAGCAACGCGCGAGCTGTCAGAGAGTACTCCGAGGTCACCATCGCCTCGCATATCGGGCCTGGGGAAGTCCTCATTATACCGGCCATACACGTGAGTGGAAGATTCTAGAAGCTAGATTACTGCATCATTGTCAGGAGGTATAGTGAAGTAACCATCGCCTTGAACATCGGACTTGGGGAAGTTCTCATCATACCTGTTATACACATGAGTGAACATCTGGAAGGTTTTAGAACACTTGAAGCATCAGCAACGCGCGAACCATCAGAGTGTACAGTGAGGTCACCATCGCGTCGTATATAAGGCCTGGGGAAGTCCTCATTATACCCGCTATGCACGGTAGTGGAACATTCTCCAATCATAATCATCATTTTAGCCATAGGACGTCCAGTCCAGAAGCTATAGCAAAATCACCATCACAGAAAAAGTACTTATTTATATCGCTTCACTTGTAAGTCAGCGTGTACTGAAATGATGAGGACCTCCTCATCATTCCCGCTAATAGGTAAGTAAGTGGCAGTGGGCAGTGCACATAGCCATTGGGACGACTATGGAAAACGTAGCGTAGGCAGGCCTTCCGCTCAGTGGATCAAAGATTTGGTTAAGGTTACGGGAAGCACCTGGATACAGGCAGTACAGGACAGTAGTTGTGGAAAACTGGAAAACTTTTGGAGACTAACGCCCGTATTCACAAACATAACTATGAGGTCTCATAGTGCGCGTGGACGCACAGGGTGACACACGAACCAATCAACAGCTCATCATCATCAACATCTTATAATCTGAAGGACAGTAGCGGTCCGCCCCGGGTGCCAAGCATCAGGGGGTGACACAAGTCGCGCAGATTAGTACTCACTGGCACATCTGCACGGCAAATCTGCCGTTTATGTCATGATATGAGGGGGGTGGGGGGTGCGATTGTCTTTCAATCTTCGAATCGCGAGGTAACCCAAAAAATTCTGGGGGGTACCAGAGGGTGCCATAGGATCGCCCCGGGTGCCAACCCATGCTACGCCGCCACACTGCTGAAGAAGTCAATTTTGCAAAAAAGTGTACCGAACCATCTGTTCCAGGACTGCGGCTGCGACTACCGCTGCGTGGCGCTGAACGAGTTTCGCAGCCAAGTGCGTTGCTACTGCCCCTCGTCTTGGAGCACCGACGTCCACGACGACACCAAGTGTATATGTGAGTACAGAGAATTAATTAATTTAACACTATCATAGGCGTATCTGGGGTAATTCTTCAGGGGGGCCTCTCCCTTGACATGTTATGATATGAGGCCATCTTCGAATCGGTAGCCCAACACCCTAAGAGCGGTTCTATTCCAGTCTAAAGGGGGCACGGCCCACCCGGCTCCACCACTATACAGGGTGGAATTTTGTAATGCCACCTGGAGGGAAAGTACTCTTAATACTGTAGATAGAAAATTTTACTGAAAGAAAACATTACTTTATTTTTGAAGAGAAAGAGAACTGCATTCAAAGATTTTCGAAAATTCTTTACCAATGCATACTACAAAATTTCCTGTACATATTTAAAATAATTTGAGATTTCATGGTTTTCCTTTCATTTGATTTATCAAGTTTGTTAGAGAGATTTCATCCTTATACTTAACCCTAATGATAGATGCAATAAAAATACAGGGTGTAATTTTTAACAGATTTTAGTTGGTTCGAATCCCGGGTGTGGAAAGCAAATTTTTGGAAATCTTTGAATGCAGTTATATTTCTTTTCAAAAATAAAGGAATGTTTTCTTTGAGAAAAAAATTATATCTACAATATTAAGAGTACTTTCCCTCCAGGTACCATTACAAAATTCCACCCTGTATACGCGCATGATCACTATAAAATACCTGTGTTCTTGATGTGGAAAGGAGACGAGATGATATAAGCAACCAATAGAATTTCGTTATTTACAAGTCTCGTCACCGCTGTTCAGCATTGTGGAAATGGTTGAGCAGAGCGGAGAAGATAATAATGTGCATTGAGCATTGAGCGAGACAAAGCGGAGCAGAATGGAGAAGGTGTCTCAGTAAAAAAAAAGTCTACATCCGCGCCCTACTCCGATTTAGTAGCACATCATCTGTGTAACTTAACATTCTTGGTATTCCTTGTTTGTTCGCTCTCAGTCCTGCAGTGAAGACTTGTCTCCAATATCTTTGCCCTAATGATGATGATGATGATAATGTGTTTGCAGTGGAGGAGTCCTGGCCTCGTCTGTCGCTGGTGCTGCTGGTGGTGATGGGAGTGGCGGTGTTCGTGTCTGCCCTCGCTGTGCTTTGTGTCTGCCTCTACCTCTGTGAGTATACTGAACCTGGACCACTTAACCTTTATTGGTTGCGTTTTTATTGGCAGTCAAGCTATAAATCCTGGCTACACAGGAATTACAATGGTGGAAACGAGAGGTGGGAACCTGGACACTAGTTAAACTCTACTCACCAGTAGGTATACAAGACAAGACAAGGTGTAAAAAATGCGCCACCAGAAACCAGTTCCTGTATCTGGCCACTGTGGGTGAGGATTCCGATTGAAGCTCGCGTTCATCTTCGGCCTGATCATTAATTTCCATCTGGTGAGATGCTGCCCAATAGCTTCTCCGTTGTGGATAAAAATGCATTCTGCACGTCCACCCGATCTAGGTATATTTTAGTGGGAAATACAATGGCTAATGGATAAATGGATGGCCCAAACTGGATATGTTTACCCCAATCTAGCATTTATAGCCAAGTCCGGGGAGATGAGAATCTTACTCCTCATTTTACTTATAACCGCAAACTGATATCCTCGCTATCGGACTTATTTCTAAAATTTTACGACATTTTATACCCTTGACCAGGCTCTAATTTCTAAAAACTTTCCAGACAACGCCTACCAACGCAGAAAAGAGACGGAACTCCGTCAAAAGCGCCTCCTAGAACAGGAGGTTCAGCTCCACCGGCTCAGGAACGCCCCTGGGGGTAATGAAAACCCCCTCAGCATGGCGTTCAACCCCCATTATGGAAGCGAGAGCATCCTGCCTCAGGGGATTGATGTGAGGGGCCTGCCGCAGGTGTCTAGGGAGAGCCTGAAGCTGGTCAAGTAAGTGCTTACCATTTCTTTTTTCTTCTTAATTAAAATCTAGCCAACAGATGAATTGTGCTCCTGGATAAAAGGAGTCTCTAATCTTCCGGTACTGGATGTGTCAAGAGCCAAGAAGTGCTAGCCACCATTTTGTGGAGCATGTGGTTTTTAATATAGTGACCTGTGATTGCACTTGTTGTGCCTAATCAAAATGTGCATACCAAATCGTATAAATCGTATGAGTTCATGTATTCTAGTGGTGACTGAGTTTGTTCCGGCGTTTCTTCTCAGCACTTGCCATATGTTTGTCTCGAAGCGCTGGTAGGGCTCAAAAGATAAGGAGACATGTAAATTGCCCCATAAGGGCTACCTTTTTTCTTTTTTTACGTTCATAAGTGCCACTTGTGGTCTAAATTGAATAAATATTTTTGATTTTGTAGGATTTGTGCAAAATTGTATGTAGGTACTCGTAAATATGACGTAGTTAGGTATTAGGTGTATTTGGATTGGTTTTGAGCTTTTCATCATTGATTTAATTTTCCCCCAGGGCACTAGGCCAGGGCGCTTTCGGCGAGGTCTACCAAGGCTTGTACAGGCACCGAAACGGCGACGCAGCAGAAATGCCGGTGGCTGTCAAGACCCTACCAGAGCTATCCACCGGCCAGGCAGAGTCAGACTTCTTGATGGAAGCCGCCATTATGGCGAAGTTCAACCACCCGAATATCGTACACCTGATTGGAGTATGCTTTGATAGGCATCCTCGGTAAGTGGGTTTTTGAAGTTATTAGAATAGCTTTTATCCTTCATAACAATCCGAAATAATAAAATATTAAAATTTGAAAAAAAAAAATCCGCGGCTTTGCCTGCTTGGATTTACTTTATAAATTACTAGCTTTCCGCCCGCGGCTTCGCCCGCGTGGAATTTTGTGTGTCACAGAAAAACTTTATCGCGCGCACCCCTGTTTCAAAAACCGGGATAAAAACTATCCTATGTTCTTTCCCGGGACTCAAACTATCTCTATGCCAAATTTCATCAAAATCGGGTCAGTGGTTTTGGCGTGAAAGAGAGACAGACAGAGTTACTTTCGCATTTATAATATTAGTATAAAAGTATAGATTTACAGCCTATGTCATTTATGGATATAATGTAGAACCACCCAGAACACATTATTGTCTCGAAGCAGTGGCAGAGTTGAAATTCTATGATCCTGTAAATGTGCTTGTGCTCATATAAAGCCGATATAGTCCTAGAATTGCCAGCGAGCGGGTACTTAAAAAACTTTTTGGACACAAGTGACAAGAAGCCGACATTCTAAATTAAATCTTGTACCCAGCTTTAGATATAATCCAAGAGCTTTCTCAAGGAACATCCACTCCTATCCGACATTGAAAATTGTGCCTTATTCCACAGCTTCATAGTCTTCGAGCTGCTAGCAGGCGAGGATCTAAAGAACTTCTCACGAAAGAGTCACCCCATTTAAATAAATAATAAATAATTTTTATTCACAAATATCATTTCCTGTGATGTAATAAACCACAGCTTCTGCACTAGGCTCGCAGGCCTGTGTCAATTTCAAGTTGTGTATTATTTCTCAACATTATGGTCCTAGAGTTGCTGAGAGGGCAGAGACCTAAAATACTTTTGGGTGGGGCCTAAAGAACTTTCTGCGCGAAAGACATTCTAAATTGTGCCTTATTCCACAGCTTCATAGTCCTGGAGCTGCTAGCAGGCGAGGACATAGAACTTCTTGTGAGAGAGTCGCCCCAAGCCTACTCTAAATTGTGCTTTATTCCACGGATTATAGTCCCCGATAAAAAACTTCTCAAAAGCAAAATCCGCCCCTAGGCGACATTCTAAATTGTGCCTTATTCCACAGCTTCATAGTCCTGGAGCTGCTAGCAGGCGAGGATCTAAAGAACTTCTCACGAGAGAGTCACCCCATTTCAAGTTGTGTATTATTTCTCAACAATGGTCCTAGAGTTGCTGAGAGGGCAGAGACCTAAAAAACTTTTGGGTGGAGACCTACAGAACTTTGGGCGAAAGACATTCTAAATTGTGCCTAATTCCACAGCTTCATAGTCCTGGAGCTGCTAGCAGGCGGGGACCTAAAGAACTTCTTGCGGGAGAGTCGCCCCAAGCCGGAGCGGGCCAGTGCTCTCACCATGAAGGATCTGCTGCTTTGTTCGCTGGACGTCTGCAAGGGCTGCCGGTATCTGGAGGCCAAGAGGTTTATACACAGGTAAGGGAACATAATGGGGACTTATAGAACTTTATACATATAACGGGGGTTAACAAAATACCAGTGGTGCCGCCTAGTGTGTTTCTAGCCTGTCTTTATTTCAAAATGTCAGTCAATGAGAAATCATAAGTGCGTTTCAATTTATAGAACGTCTTTTATAATGGGGACTTTAAGAACTTCCTATGTAACAGGGACTTGAAGAACTTCGTTTATAAGAGACGTAAAGAAATTCCTATATAGCGGGAGTTTAAAGACCCTTCCAACGGGAGGCTGTCTTAACAGCTGTGTTCCCGATGAGGATGTTGCAGTTTGGAATTTGGAATCAACCATTGAACAAAAATAAATATGATTTCGCTTTGACGGGGACATAACAACCTAAAAGATAGAAGATAATATTTTAAAATCAGCATTAAAGTAGATTATTAGGATTTAGGGCATAGATTTGATTTAGGTTTATAGAGGGGAGTGGCATGATGACGTAAGAGGGGACTAGAGTCAGCGTGGTGATTGTGGGTCAATTTTCCGTTTACCGCCACGCTGGTAAATTATAAAGTTGTGCTCCTGCAATTGAAACTAAATGACCTAATGACAATGATATCAACAGGGACATAGCAGCACGTAACTGCCTGCTAACCTCCCGCGGTCCAGGTCGTGTGGTCAAAATCGCTGACTTCGGCATGGCCAGAGACATCTATAGAGCTGACTACTACAAGAAGGGGGGCAAGGCCATGCTGCCCATCAAGTGGATGCCGCCGGAGGCGTATATTGACGGGATATTCACCATTAAAACTGATGTTTGGTGAGTATCTAATCAGTTCTCATGTCTTTTATTATAACATGTTACATTCCGACTATTCGTTAGCTTTTTCCCACTGCTGCAACTCTTGTGTTCCTTTATAACCAGGATCCACATCTTGACCGTCGTTAAAAATCCAACCAGGGAAAACCGTTCCCGTAAACAATCGAACCAAAGAACGTCCATCTAACTAAGGTCTTCCGTAAGGAATTTACACAAAAACCTGTCTAGCGGTGCCAGCATCAAGGTACTTCCCGAGACCTCCACCAGAGATCGTCGGTTTACTTAGTGGGAGGCCTGTCTACATTAAGTTTTCTGGTCCGTGGTCGCCGTTACTTCTATTCCTGCTGAATTAGTTCAAGGGCTATGTGCCATGAAAATAGCAAGTCAAAGTCAAGATGAGGATCGAATAAATGCGAATGATAGTTCATTTTTTCCGGCTAGCAATTCATGTGTCTTGTCTTTTCAGGTCGTTCGGCGTGCTGCTATGGGAGGTGTTCTCTCTAGGCGTGATGCCGTACACAGGCTGCGCGAACAGAGAGGTCATGGAGATGGTCTCTGGCGGCGGTCGCCTGGAGAAACCTTATGGTCAGTGCCTTTATGTTATATTTTATTTTACACTGTTAAGTCTCAGAATTGGTAGACTATTCAATTTGTTAATTATTTTTTGATCCTTTGAGCCGGCTTTCATTTATTAAGCCGCTTATCTTACAGTTAAAGAAGAAATGTAAATTGTTAAGTTTCAGAGTTAGACAATACAATAAGATTCGATGTGTATTATTCGTTGATCCTTCGGGCCGGTTTTCATTGGTCCTTCGGGTGGGTTTTTTTTTGGTCCTTCGAGACGGTTTTCATTGGTTATTCGCGCGCACGGGTAACTTCCGTCTTTCTTTTTCTCTTTATAAAAGTGTAAAAGAGACAGATATATTATTGTCACGGTGACAAAAAGGTGCAAAGACGCCCTGCACGCATAGCCTTAGCAACGAGTAGCCTACTTGACACTACTTGGAGATCGTAAAAAGGCCCTAAGGCTGAGTTGCACCACCCAACTTTAACGGTAACTAAAACGATAACCGGTGTTTTTTGTATGGAGTTTGACGTATTTTTGACGTTTGTTGAAGTTAAAATACGATCGTGCACCCAGTCTAAGTATTTCATTTCAAAGATTTACAGCTGTGTAGCCCATAGGCTGGTTTTAGTGTCACGCGGACTGTCAGTGCGGATCGCTCCGCACAGCCGATCTGTATGAACTGCTAGGGAGCGAGCGGTTCCTCCGGACCGCATTACTCTAAAACGCTCCCTAGAAGTTCATACAGATTGGCCGTGCGGAGCGCCGGAGCGGGTCCGCACCGGACGGTCCGCGTGACACTAAAACCAGCCATAGTGTAGCCAAAAGGACCGAACTAACACAGTCTTTATGTTCCTACAGGCTGTCCCCAAGACATCTACCGGCTGATGTGTGAGTGCTGGAACCCCACGCCCTCCGAGCGGCCCTCCTTCGCAGGCATGTTCGACCGCCTGCAGAGGTTCTCACAGGTACGATCATTAAAAAATATAAAGACTTATAATATGTATGTCACCGTAAAATTGTGAATTCCGTCAGATTATAATCTGACGTAGTTAAATTACAATCTAACCTAACCTAACCTAACCCACTGTTCGTTTACAATCTAACGCGTTATATTATAAAATGACAGAGTTCACAATTTCACGTTGACATGTACACCACGAGAAATACTGCACAGAACTGATATAATGCAAAAATTTGTAAATGAAGAGCGATCGAGAGGAGTAAATGCTTGGACGAATAAATTAAATGTATTGTAAGACCAGCGAATAAACTAATTTATTTACTTGCGCATATCATTTATGAAGTTAGACGCTTATGGCGGACGCCCATGATGTCCAGTCCAGTGAATAAACTAATTTATTATAGGACATTAGCGGACGCTTATGGCAAACGCCCATGATGTCCAGTTGACACAGTTTTTATTCTAAAAAGCGCGACTAGAAATATTTAAGTAAGTACTTAGAAGTTGCTGAAGAAGACTGCTTTCATTGGAAGAAGAGGAATAAAGTTGAATACTTTCATTAAAAATATAAATGTAAATAATAATCGGTAATTAATTATTAATAATTTTCACATTGACCGTCAACATACATAGATGGAACCGCCAAGATTTTTCAATAATAATAAAATTCTATTTTACAATATCAATAAATTCACGTCGCAAAAAGTAGTTTTTCCGCGTTGTTTTATTTAAATCCGTCTAAAAATCGTCCGTCTCCATCGTATATTATTGAAGAGCTCCACTCTATTCTCCCACAGGACCCCGAGATAGTCAGCGCCTCGTTACCAGTGGTGCGGTCGCTGCTGCCTCTCCCGGCAGAGGTGCAGGTCAACGCCAACGGACCGCAGGTACACAGCCCGCCTCCGTCGATGATATACAGGGTGTTGTTCAAAGGGTAGTTGGAGAAAAAGATAGAAAATGACAATAATATGAGCTTACATGTCAATACTATCTTCTTATTGTTGTGTCGACAACAAACCAGTCCCAAAACTCCGCTACAGAGTGGCGTTGTCAGTAGCATTAATTTAATTATTCTGTGTCAATACTTTAAGCTGACATGACAATAATATGAGCTGACATGTCAATAATATGTGCTGACATTCAATTAGTATGTGCTGACATGTCAATAAATCTTTGATAAGAAATAAAAATGGGGTTGCCATGTTTAAAAATAAAATAAAGAGTAATAACGGTTTGTTGTTTTTCGGGTATTTGTCCTGAGAAAAATATCAGTAGAAAGAAAATAAATAAAATTGTTGTAAATGTTAAAATAATAACAGTTATTGAAAAAAGATGATATAACAATAGTTGTATCATTGTGTAGATAATAAGTTATCCTATAAGTTTTGTTAGTTTTTGTAAAACAATAATTTAGATCATGTCTGACAGATATTGTATCCAATAACATTCAGACAGATTTTTTTAAAATATTTGTATCTAAATTCATTTTTTGAAGCTGAATAAAAACTTTGAACAACACCCATGTCAATAATAATGATTTTTTTACAACAAACACTGAAAATTGCATTTGATTTAAATTTTTCCGAATTTCCCTACCATTTGATTATAGTTACCCTACACTTTAAAAATGCGATTAAATATAAAAAACTAATTTGAGACTTTTTCTCTTTTTTTCCAAATGTTATCGCTCTGGCTACTAGAAGCAAGTAACTGGATCCATTTTTTAAATTACATAATTATTATTTATCGGTGTTAGAAACTTCGCGTGCTTGAGAATTGCGCATGTATAACAATTTTATTTTGTTTCTCTACCCCCCTCCCGAATGGACCCATGTAGTGACATAGACTCCCCGTAGTTAGACAGAGATTCATTGGAATGGCCAAAACACACCAACTCGAACTCATTAAAAAATAAAACGTCATGCATGACCAGTGTTACCATAAAAAATAACTGAGTTAACAATCTGTAACATTACCATTGTTTTGTTTTATTCATTTTTGCTTGTCATCCGACATTTCAAAGAATCTCTACGTCGAAAATCTTCAGGATTGAGTGTCTATACTTGCCTAGTAGCTATAGCGAGGATCTGTACCTATATCTATTCTTTTATTTTACCTTTGCCCCTTCGAACTGGGTTTTATAAAAAAATAAAGCTTTTTGACGCAGAAGTCATGTTTTTATAAAGCCTAGTGATATATGCACGCGTAGATTTACAGTGGATGACTCGGGGAGATTGAATATTATGTGGTCAAATAATTAAGAATTTAAAAAAAATATTCCATAGTCTTATTTATTTATTAATGAATTCCAAGTACGCCTATTTTTATTAAAACAAAAATCTTTACTTCTTTACTATTTTTTAACTTAGATTTTTTTTTCATATTTGACTACTTCTAAGAGCAGACAAAATAATGTATCATACATTAATAAGAAATATAGTTAAAAAAAAAAATTACAGCTAATAAATAAAAATATTATAATGTCACTGGCCACTGACCAGTCGCTAGCTAAAATGTTATTGGCTCGATTTTTTTTTTGCTTTCGCGGCAACAACAACCACGGAGGCTCAATTTGAATTTTTATTCAAAAATAGAACAAAGGCCATGGAATTCCAATTTCAAATCTCCCCGCGTCCGCGTGTGTACTGAGCGTGGCATGTTGGCAGCGCGGCCCGGCCTGCGACTACCTCGTGCCGATGTCGCCGCAGGAGAACCCGCCGCCGAACTCTAGGTAACGGCCGCTTACGGGCTGGCAGACATTTTGAAAATAGAACAGCGAGAGAACTTTTTTTTAATCTTGTCAAAACTTTTTTGAGTGGGAAATCTTTTTGAATATTTTTTATTCAATTTACGACTTTTTACCGCTTTGAGTAAAGTTTCATAACAGGCAAATGAAGATTAAAAGCTTGTCGTATTTTTTTTAAACGACCGATTTTTCAAAGATTTTACAGAATGAAAAATTAATATTAGCTACCTATTTACCCAACAATTTAATGAATAACCTTTTAAGATTTATCAATGAGTGTCAAATATTAAAAAATGATAAAGACACGCATTTTTTCAGTAATTTTAAATATTAGCTTTATTTAATTCGACAAATAAACGGGATTTTTACGCGTCGCCAATTATTTTAACCAATAAATGCCAACGCTTCAAAATCTGATTGCTGTATATTTAGACATTATTCGAGTATACTCAATGTTAGGTGCTTAAGCATAATTTATTGAAAAAAATATGCCTGCCAGCCTCTGCGTTATTATAATAATAATCACCTATCTCTATAATCTGATCTAACTATTAATATATGTGGCACTCCCTTTCACGACTCGATGTTGTCATAGTAACCATGTTGGTGGCGAAATTGCCAAATTATTTAACATTTTTCATCAAAAAATATGTAAAAAATTAAAATTATGTGTAATAAAATAAAAATTATATAAAAAATATATTAAAAATTTAAAATATGTAATTTTTATATTTGTATGAAAAATGTTAAATAAATATTTTAATAACAGCCAAATTAGAAACTGCTCTATATGGACAGAGTAGTATAGCATGCGTTAGCAATCTTCCGTTCCTGAAAGAATATTTTATTGAGTAAATAAAGAATTANAAAAATTTAAGTCCTTGAAAGATAAATAATGATGAAATGCACCCGATCTTATCATTTTTCCGATTCCATTTCGATCTTCTATCTGTTTATTTTTTTATTGTTATGACAAAATTATGTCAGTACATATTACACTCCGGCTTCATTGATATTTGCCATAAATATCTAGTATGCCTCATATTGTCTAGCTAGTCGATGCGAGTGTTATTCAATTCTGTAAGTAGTACTACAGTTGACCTAACAACCAAATGATTGCAAATGATAAAGAAATTAATGGTTTTTTACAAAAAAAAAAAAGAGAATCCAACTCATTTTGAAAGCAAACTCTATCTTTTCCGGTATACAACTACGACGAGAAAATCTTCAGTATTTTTTCTATTTGTCTTAAAATAACGCCCATAAAATTATAGACCATTTTTTTTAAACTGAGCATGATCAAAACTGAATTCATTTTTTAACAAATACAGTGATGTAGAGGTTGTACCAGAATGTACTGACATAATTTGACTATTTCTTATTCCACTGTTGATAAACCGAGCGGGTTGTTGTAGCTCAACGGATCCGCTGGTCCCTCATAGCAAATCGCCAACGGCGGCGCCGGAACCACCAGAAACGGAGGATTCACCATATCCACCTCTTCTGAAAGGTATATTTTCTTTGAAACTTTCATAATTTCAGCTACAAGACGTCCACTGCTGAACTAAGGCCTCGCCCAATGATTTCCAATCCATATTGGTCGGTTGGTGGCGGTCTGCATCCAGCGCCTTTATTTTTTTTTACATGTTCATATTATGCTTGTCACATGGTGATGTACAGCGCTCCAAAATAAGTGGCAAAACTGGATAGTTGTAATTTCGAAAGGCCTTCACTCTGGCGGATTTTGTAAGGACTCACTTCGCTACTTGAAGGGAATCGATTTTCCGAGCGATAAAAAGTTCCACTTGTCGGGTTTATTTAGGCTTTTCGCACCATCAGTGTACATCGTGTTTGACTTTAATACATTGTCTAATGTAAATTTTTCTTTTCTATAAACAATAATTATATTTAAAAAAAAACTCCAATTTCCGTAGCATCACAAGAATATGGCAACATTCCAATGGCGTCCCGGAGCGGCGCGAGCGCAAGGCGGGCCGATGCTTCGGCTACCTCCGCCGCCGAGACGCGGACCACCACAAAGTTTCTGCCGTCTAATTCGACAGACAGGTATAGTATTTAAAATATGTAGTTATGATAAATTATACAAATTATATTTTTTTATTCACTACTAGTAGTATACGCCAAGGGGTTAAAAAACGAAATTCTTTCTCAAAAATTATGATCACTAGTAAAATATGTTACCGCGTATTTGTAAAAAAAAAAACAAATGGATTTGGTAATTCAAAGTACATCTATGATCATCTTCCTGAAGAATTTCAAAGAAAAAAAAATGTTTCCCAAAAACTTCTTCGTTAGCAATTTTTCTTCTCAATGTGGACGTCACGTATAATAGAAATGACTTAACTACGACATAAAGGCAATAGGTGAGATACAATTTAATATTACTCAATATTTATGCCGACATCTTTATTTTCTCNATCTTTTCAGGTTACTAAGCTCCGTAGAAGGCGCTTCAATAGACGAGGAATCACCATCGGAGGTTGACGGTAAGCCGACCATCTGGGAGACCTCCTTCACTGAGCCCAAGAAGGAAAAGGTTGAGCCCAAGACTCAAGACCGGACTCAAGATCGAACTCAAGACCGAACTCAAGACCGGAGTCCCAACTCCAAACAGAGCTCAGAAAACGGACCTGCTGTAAGATTTTTTTACTAATCTACAATCTATGCTACTTTTTTAAAACCTCTCCTTACATTTTAACTATAATATTTTGTACTATTTTTACAGGTGGAAAAACTAATCAGCATAACACCAACATCGCCCAAACCCCCAGAGAATGTCCTGACCAAGGCCATAGAGGCCAACGTCATAGATAAAACGAATCACAAGAACTCCTTAGTGCCAGAGAGAAAGACTGCGCCTATCGCGTCTCCCGACCCTCCTCGCATCAATGCGTGGGCCAACAACGACCCTCCGAAAGTAACTCCGAAACTAAAACCTCTTTGCCTTGACGCAGCGCAGTTAGAACAAAATTTGAACGCCCTCAAAAAAACAGCGGGTCCGTCAATTTAACCACAATGTCCAGCATTCTCCCCCCGTATATCAACGTGGTGACCCCAAACAAACTAACAGAGGCGAAAACAATTCAAATAGACCCCAAGAAAGCTGTCATAGACGACTTACAAACGCCTAAAGAGGAGACAAAAGAAGAAAAGACAAAACTCAAACAGTCTAATTCCGCTGCCAGTTTGCTGAACGGACCTATGACTGATTTGCCATACGCGGACAGCGACAACGCTTCCTCAAGCTCTGGGAGCAACGCGCAGAATCTCATCAAGCAAAAGAACAAGAAAAATTACACAGAAGTCGTCGTCGGAAACGACAGCGTCAAAATGATAAAACAGGGTAGCAATGCGGAGTTTGGGGACTCAGAAATTAGCTTTTAAACGTCTATTAAAGCCCTTCTATAGCCAAAGGTTGTGCCATACGATGCGACCGTGAAAACGCGAGTGCCGCCGTTTCATGTGACAAAAACTATTCTATTTTTAAACTAATGAAAATAATGTTACCTACTATTAGGTGTAAATACTACCAAATACGTTTTAAATAGGAATCTTTAGAATGTAAGCATTATAGTCACTTTATGTGCGGGACTTTAAAAACATATTTATTAAAAAATATATTGTTTAATTTGGAAATTTGTATTTTTGTCGAAACATGTACAAAACGTTGGTCTTTTTGTTAAAAATTTATCGTGAAAATGAAAAGTGAATCGTAGATTTCTTTTGGTGAAAAGAAAAATGGCTTCCTGATATCGCTTAATAGTAAAAAATAGTCGTTTATTGTTGCTCAATTTGCTCAATGTTTTGCGAGAATTTTGTATGTAGCTCAAAGTAGATAAAAAAAATCTGTTAGTTTTTTCTACTTTAGATGAATTTAATAATAATTGAGATGAACTTTTATATGAACGAAATCAATTGGCTTTGTAGCGTTTCCATTTTGTTTCGCCAGTAAGACTATAATAAAGATCGTCTCGGACCTGTTACATATATTTAATCACGCACATCAAGCAACAGCTGATTAGTATTATCTTCAACTTTAAATTAAGGACAAATGAAACGAATTAAGACACTACTTATCTACCGGTTTTTTAATTATTTTTTTACGTTGAGAATCTACCATCGTTTGGCAAAGTCAAAAAATATGAACATTCCATGGATTTTTTTAATAAAAAATATTTTAATTTTTTAAAACGTTTTTTGAAGTAATAAGTATTTGTTCCATTAAAATTGTTCATAACAATGGTTTGATTCTCGACTATTATTTATGAGTATTTCCTTACGATCCTAGATTAACTAGATAAAAACGTAGTATCGCTTAAAATGTTTGTAAATAATATAAAAATGTAGAAATTTGTGTAAATCCGCCCCAGAAAAAACATATACACGAATAAATATAAAAATATAATGAAGTAATCTTTTACGTATACGTAGTACGTAGAGTGAAAGAGTTGTGTCAGTACCTATTTTAGTTGTAAAAATTTTATGTACGTTGAAATATATGGTATGAGAATGTTGATTTTGTTTATATATATAAATTTTCATTTATATTTCACCGGCATTGTTAGAGTTCGGCCACATAAGAAAAATATACATTAGAAATTATGAATATAGTTTTATTATATTATATATATGAATTTAAAATGTGTGTTTATCACATAAGTGGATGCTTTAATTACACTATAAGATAGATTTTAAGAAATACTAGCAAATCTATGATTTGTACATGTTTATGTTGATTCAGAGTAGTGCCAAATGGTTTTGTTGATTACTGCCTACTTGGAACGCATTTAAAGTATTATTCTTTTGTATAATTGAGGCATGAAATGACAGGGTATCATGGTATATTCGTTTAAATTTTAATTATATTGTGATGGTCTGTCAAATAAACAAAATTCTGTCTGTGGGACGGATAATAATGAGTATTATTTGTGTCGTATAACGAAATGTCTGTGACGTAATTTTAATTCGTGTATATATATAATTATTTATACTATACAAGGTGTAACTGACATGGTGGCAATAGCTTGAAATGTCAAGTTAGCTCGATATAAAATAAAAGTAAAATGTACATTCACAACATTCTACTTTCACTATTTTTACAACATTCTATTTTCTGAGTGACTTAAAAATGCACAAGGCAGATATTTGACCGCAATCACATCTGATGTTACGTGAGATGCAGTCTAGGATGGTAATACCTGTCCTGTAAATGATGGCAATTCATTCTATTCATTATCCTCTTGAAGAGGCTCAGATTAGTATTAACCTGAGTTTACTGTTTGGGTTATTGCCAGCATGTTCCTTACAAACTGTATATAATAATATTACTATGTTTGTAGCTTACGCGGTATTCGTTCGGAGATCGTGTCATTTAATATGTTTTGTCGTATTAATTTAGAAGGAACTGTACACTGCAGTGGGACATTGTTGCAATAAGTGCAGTGCGTGGATCTAAGTTTACAAATAAAACGACAGTGGTTAGTTGGAAAGACCTATATTTTTTGTTAATACGAAATGTTTCAATGAATCTGTTTTATAAATTAAGCCTGTGACCGCAATGCAAAATAATTGCACTTTAATTTGACGAATAACGTTTGACTGTCACTTCTATGACTTGCTCAATTTAGAGTATTATTTTTTAAATTAGATGAAAATTTATTATAAAGCCGCGTATGGACTTCGGAAAAAATTGTCCGCGACTCGTCTAAAAATACATCTGACAAGGTAAATGAGTATGGAAAAGATAATAATTATTTGTTTTAATATCTCAATATGACGTGTCGCGGGACATTTTGTCCCTCCGTGAATACAAAGCTTTTTTTAAAAAAACTTTTTTTTTAACGAAAAAAAAAGAGAATTGTGGTTGTGACTTACGTATAGTTGCGGACATGGAAATACGTCGAAGTTCCTTTTGAATTGTTGGGAGTGACCTTGAAATGTTATTCCTCTTTCGACCTTCGTCTTTTAATATTAGTGTTGGATAATTTGAACAACGAAACGTGAAATTTAAAAAATGGCGTGTAACAGGCATTTTTTTTGTTTTCAAACAGTGAACCCATGACCCCTTTTGTAAATGAGCCAGTTTAGTATGGTAATGCGCTATATAAATAGTGGAGCACGTTTGTATATGGTAAATAAAATATAAAGTACGAGGTCGCATGTAAAATTTATAAAATAACAATAAAAGAAAAAGTGTAATTGATATTCAAAAATAAAATCATTAATAATAAATGTAAATTACTTGTTTCATTCCTTGTTTTCCTATTTTTGTTGTCTTTTAAGCCTTAAAAATATTATACTAAAAATAATGGTAGTTTTTGTACACCTGTGGTGCAGGTGCATCTTGCTGTCATATGCTTAAGCATTAATATTACAGGGTAGGGGAGGGGATAAACTGTCATAAATAAAATGTAAATAATAAGTTTATACTTCAGTTTATTTTCTGTTAAATAATAGTTTTTTTATGAAATGCTAAACATCGACAGGGCATTACAAATCTAAAGAAATCGCTGAGCGTTGTATGATACAATAATCGCACATCATTGAAAGCCATGCTTATTATCAAAATACTCCCCCTAATTATATTATTTGTATAATTTTGTTTTTATTATTAAATAAACAAACATAACACATGGAGGTTGTGAATTTTATTATTTTTTGCTCGACTTGGTGGGGGCACTGCCGTGCCCCCAGATACTTAATTGAAAAAATAAAAAATAAATATTATTTTTGTCTCTCAAGGTCTTGTATTCGAGACTGCAATTTGTAGAAAAATCGTACTTATTCCGAACTGGCATACTGCAGTGCTTTATTATACAAATAATATAATTTGGGGAAAAACTCTACTAGCAGACACGTTTACTACAGAAAAAACAATTTCACGCATCAAACGCAATGTACCTACTATATGACATTATAACAAATTCTTGTGAATAAAGTCGAGGAGACAAAATGGCGACTTGGCACACGCTATTGACTTTATATTTACATAAGCTTATTAATATTATAGTAATAATAATGTTGTATAATACAGAAAAAGCGTAAACTTTAGTTGTTTATACAATAATAATATACTTTAAAATAATTGCAACAATACTGAATAACATTAAATAATGAAATATGTATTTATATATCTAATAATAATAATCCCAACTAATATTATAAATGCGAAAGTAACTCTGTCTGTCTGTCTGTCTGTCTGTCTGTCTGTCTGTCTGTATGTCTGTCTGTCTGTTACGCTTTCCCGCTTAAACCTCGCAACCGATTTTGATGAAATTTGGCATAGAGATAGTTTGAGTCCCGGGAAAGAACATAGGATAGTTTTTATACCGGTTTTTGAAACAGGGACGCGCGCGATAAAGTTTTTCTGTGACAGACAAAATTCCACGCGGGCGAAGCCGCGGGCGGAAAGCTAGTATTATATAAAGTCTAAATAAAACCTCAAATATTTAATTAAATACTATATATATTTTGAATTTACTTATGGACTGTAGTAAATAAATTTAGTCTCTAATCTAATACTTATCTTTGACTTTTCAATTAAATATGGATTTCCCGCCATCCGCCATTTTGTTCCTTCGCCCTAAGGGTTGCCAACTACAATATCCGTATTGTACTAACGAAAACTACCAGTCAATAACGGTATTATTTCACAAGTCAACTTTAGCGGTTAAAATAACCGCAACTTATTTTAAGATCAGTCATCTACCGTAAAGTTGATGGAATAAATGAAACTATACATACGTTTAACGTAGAAAGCGAGAAAAATACTGAAAATAATACTTTAAATTTTAGCTGAGAAGATTTAAGAATGATTAAAGTTTAATTTCAACTTAATTTCAATATGAGATCTCTAGACTTATGAGTTGACAGTTGTTTTTGTTCCGTTACCTATGCTTAGTACACTTTATAGGATATTCGGCTAAAGACTACAACTATTTGTTTTATAGATTGCATTAATAAAATAAAATAATAACATTTATTTATTAATCAAAATACAAAACTAAAATTCGAATAACATTCGAGAGTTATAGATTTTTTGTTGCTTTTTTTAAACTATGTACTTTAGCCGATTTTTCTATTTTTATGGCATTTTGCAGAATTTTAATTCAAACATACCTACGCTATTTTATATTATTATGCGGGAATGGCAGGGCTACAGTAATTTCAGCTTTTATTCTTACGGCAGTTCTAATGCGAATTATTTTTTGTTACATCAATCGAGTATTTTAAATTGATCTGCAATATAAAAAAATATAGCGAATAATTTCCAACTGCAATTATTGTTCAATTAACAAATTATTTATGTATTTCATTATTTATGGATGTGATGTAAAATATTGCACAAAATACAAAAAAAAGTAAATATTCAATACCTTATAACTAAAGATTATATTTACTAAACATCGATGTATGGACGATATGAGCAATTTAGATAAAGGAAATACATAACAGGATAGTAAATTATATTCTACATCTCTACAGGACAGTACCTAGAATAACGATAAAATTAACCTTCCACGACACTTTTAGTGATATACGTTCGCCGAATATAAAGATATCAAATAGTTAATTATTATTAAATCACATTGAATTACAACAAACTCTTAACTAACATATTTTACAGTTTACTGCTTCACTTATGTACTTCAATTAAAGATAGAATTAAATAAATTTAAATCTAAATTTAGAAAATCATGACTTGTTCATTGACAGAAAATGTTTTGTGCGAAAATTAAATAAAACAAAATCAAAAAAAATTGCATCTCCCCAAATTCATACCCTTAAACAAAAAACTGTCAAAATTATAAAAAAAATACTTGATAAATTAAAAATACGCGTCTCGCAAACAAAACTCAAAAAAGGCGCGAAAACGATCTGTCAGACGCCATTTTGATTGGGCTTACGTCGCCTATGTTCTTGCAATAACCTACCTTACTTACAAATTCGTTATCCAACATATCATACATAACATCCACATATCACATGTTTGCCATCGCGTTATCGACTTTGAGCGTTCGCGTTAGAAGTCGTTGTCGCTTGAAGCGTCGTAGGTCTCGTTGATTTGCGTCGGAGGCGGCTGGTATCGCATACTGGTGGAGACGAGCACGGGCCCGTGGAACGATTGAGATCGGAGTACGCTGCTGGAAATAAAGCTGCTATTGATTTATCATGACTTTAATAATATCGAAAATCGATCACATTTAATTGAGCAACAAGAAAAGAAAAAAATCAAGCTCGATAGAATTTTGAAAATTACTTTAAAGTCATTAAAAATTAAAATGTAATATACCTAATTTAAAAATAGTGAAAACAATAAATTTTTTTTAGTTATGCGCCAGTATTGTTGCATAATAAAATATCTGAAGAAATAAAAGTCTACGGTGAAAATTATTATTAATAACAAAGAATAATGAAAGTTTAATAGCTCTATCAAATTCCTCTAGAAATAGTACTAAAATCATTATTCAAAAAATGTGATCGATGTTCGAGCCGGGTATATTCAAAAAGTTAGTAAAATGGCAGCGGAAAAAGGTTATAATAATGTTGCTATATAATAAAAAAAGCTACTATTCGGTAGCATTTAGAAAAAGAGGAACTATATTTGTTTAGAAAAAGGGGTCTTTTAAGGTGTTTTTTGTTGTCTACGTGTATATAAAATTGTCTATGTAATTTGCAAATACAACTTTTGTGACAATATTCAGTTTTTTGTGTAACCTAATTCCAACCAGCCCTGTGGAGTGTATTTACAACAAAAAAGATTACACACATATAAAAAAAGAAACAGAAAATAGAAAAATACTTACATCAAGCGGAAGAAAGTGTTTTATGCATTTAAATATACAATAATAACACAAATATTTTATTAAAAAACCTTTAAAACCGTGATAAAGCAGGTGACAAGCACTTGTTTAGGTTTTCAAGCACTAGTTCAATTGAAAACCCTAGATTTTAATGACAGCAGGAATTCTAGTGTTAGGTAAGCTTGGTAAGCAATGTTAGTGTCAAAATTAACACCAAAATGGTGCCGAATTTAGAGCTGTCAAATCTGACAGTCCCGGACGCCACAGCAGTCAATTCGACTAACCTTTCCAGACAAGATGGCCGCCCTGTCACTTTAGCCAGATTTGCATGCATTTGACACCTGTCACGCTCTAAAATATTAAATATTAATTCTCTTAGCTTATGTATTTAATGTTTTGATTAAATAAGTTAATAACTAAAGAAAAGTTAACATAATATTTACAACTGAAAAATTACGAACGAAAAGGTATTATTATTAATATGTTTATTTTAAATATTGAAACTTAATGAAAATTAAATTTTAAATAGTAAAATGGATAATTATAGATGACGGTGATGCGGTAAATACAAGATTTTTGTGAAATTTCAATTCAACGAAAATAGAATTCAACAAAAAAAAATTGAGCCAGTTTGAAAATTAATCAGTTTGTTTGTGGCATTCTAACTTAACTGATTAACTCAGAATTATCTAAATCTGAGAACAATACGGATAACAATCAAATATAAAACATACTTTTTAAGTCAAAAGTGTACACTGTACAGTCTTTTTTTTCTTGGCTTTCGCGATTTGCGTTTAGCCAAAACGATGTGTACGTACAGTCTTAAATATTGGCGACTGTAGGCACGTTTAAAGTCATTCGCACATAAAAAAATGACTCCTTTTTTAAAAATCATTAATAGACCATGTTTATTTCTGGAACTCAACAAAAAAGTCTGAAGAGCTGGCAATTGTACCTAGTCACTGGCACATCAACAAAAAAAGTTTCTTTCTTCTTTCGACTCAATCAATCTCTAGATATTAATCAATAATGAACCTTGTATCTACCGCTACAATGACGATAATCGCATGCAATAAGGACGTACCTGGCTGTCTTGGGAGGCGCCTTGGTCTTGCCCATAGCAGCCGCCTTCCGCGGGTCGTACGAGGCTCTGCGTTTCCACTTCTCTAGCTCTTGCTTCTTTTGTTCTGGAATGAATATTATTGGGAATTAATAAAATAATTCTGGTTGATGACACTATTTATTTANTTTTGTTGACCAGTGTAATTGATCAGTTGTTTATGGCATTTAACTTAGGGCTGATTTTTCAATAGTCGGTTAACTTTTATCTGAAGAATAAGTTTGGCATATTGACAGTTTCAGTATAGGAAATATTATGTCAAAATGACAAGTTTATTCTTCAGTTAAAAGATATCTGACGATTGAAAAATCAGCCCTTAACTGATTTATTAATTCAGAATTCTCAAAACTGTGAAGATTTCTGATAACAATCAAATTAAAAAACCTTTTTAAGTCAAAAGTGTACAGTCTTTTTTTTCTTGGCTCTCGCGATTTGCGTTTAGCCAAAACGGTGTGTACGTACAGTCTTAAATATTGGCGACTGTAGGCACGTTTAAAGTCATTCGCACATAAAAAAATGATTCCTTTTTTAAAAATCATTAATAGACCATGTTTATTTCTGGAACTCAAAAAAAAAGTCTGAAGAGCTGGCAAGTCTTCAAAATGTCAAGTCTAAAGGCACTGGCACATCAACAAAAAAAAGCTTATTTCTTACGACTCGATCAATCTCTGGAACTGAACAATAATGAACCTTGTATCTACCGCTACAAGTACGAGATTCGCATGCAAGAAGGACGTACCTGGCTGTCTTGGGAGGCGCCTTGGTCTTGCCCATAGCAGCCGCCTTCCGCGGGTCGTACGAGGCTCTGCGTTTCCACTTCTCTAGCTCTTGCTTCTTTTGTTCTGGAACGAACATGATTTAAAAATTTAAAAATAATGCTCCGGTCGATGACAAAATTGGGATAGGCAGTATATTATTTGATAGTGAGTCTTATTGTCAGAGCTTTAAGGCCTAGAGTCTAGGCCCTAGACTCACTTAACTTGCGGTAGGAATACTCTTTAATAGGCAGAGGGAATATAGTTCCCACCATATTTTGAACCTTATTCGCTTGTCTAAAGGTCCAAAAACAATGAAAAATTTGACTATGCTATGACTGTTAAAGGGTTTGCTAGTGCACTAAGGCCGGGACTCACTCAGCTAGCGCTAAGAAGGCCATTAAAACCGCTACAGAGAGGAAATAAAAATACATAAGTCTAGACTTATGTCGCGGGTAGGGTCGCGGTGAGTGACCTTGCGTTTAGGCCTTCACTCTTCCAGATCGCATAACACTTATTGCTAGCGCTCGGGAGGCCTAAGGTAGCTCGCCGCTAGAGGTCGGGAGGCTTGAGGTAGGTCGCCGCTAGCACTAGAGTAGTGGAGGTAGCTCGCCGCTAGCAATAGCGTAGTGGAGGTAGCTCGCCGCTAGCAATAGAGTAGTAGAGGGAGCTCGCCGCTAGCACTAGAGTAGTGGAGGTAGCTCGCCGCTAGCAAGCACTAGAGTAGTGGAGGTAGCTCGCCGCTAGCAAGCACTAGAGTAGTGGAGGTAGCTCGCCGCAAGCACTAGAGTAGTGGAGGTAGCTCGCCGCTAGTACTAGAGTAGTGGAGGTAGCTCGCCGCTAGTACTAGAGTAGTGGAGGTAGCTCGCCGCTAGCGCTAGAGATTTGGAGGTAGCTCACCGCTAGCGCTAGAGACTTGTAGGTAGCTCGCTGATAGCGCAGACTACATGGGACAAACTTGGCCTTCACTGGTTGGGTTTTTATTGGCGATCAAGCTATTGATCCTGGCTACACAGGAGTCGCAAGGTGGGAATAGAAGGCCTAAGGTGCTCACCCGTCTCCTGGGAGGGCTGGCGGCGCGCGGGCGGCAGCAGGCGCACGTAGGTCTTGGAGGGGTCGCGGCGCAGGAAGTTCTTCGGCGAGGCGTCGCTGTACTTGGAGATGTCGAGGTACCGCGGTTGGACGCGGCGAGGCGCTGAAGTTGTTGAGGATGACATTGAGAAGTCGCCGCTGTGCCTGCAAGAGAATAGTGTAAACATTTAATGCCAATGTTTAAATAAATAAACAAGGGACGTGACAGCGCTATCTACATCGGTACGCGTCACGTCACTAGTCAGTATCATAGGACGTCGCGTCGGGCGCCTTCAAATTAGAGGCGCGAGAGAGGTGAGGAACAGGGTTCGAAATGATAATTATCAACGATAATTATCGTGATAATAACAGATGGATAATTATCGGTTGATAATAACAAAAAAATGTGCTTGTGAAAATGAACTGTATCCGAAGTTTTTGAAAGTGTATTTCCGCACTTGCGTCTAGTGGTGGACGTTAATCAACATAGATAGTTATAAAACCTATCTATTTAGCTCTACAATGATCACTAGTTATCTAGCGTCAAAATATTTATCTGTTTTCCAAGCTTTATGCGACTAGCGATGGATAACTTGACAAAAATCAGCAACCAAAAAAATAAAGTAACATACGCAATCATAATTTCTTATGAAACAATATGGCAAATGTATCTGACTGTTGATAATTATCTGATAATTACTCGATAATTATTTGATAATTATCATGAAGCGTAATTATCTTGATAATTTCGAACCCTGGTGAGGAAGCACTTCAGTGGCGGCACTATGACGCACCACTGCTTGTTTTCATAATATTTCTAGAAGCGCAAGTCGCGTTTTTCAGTGGAGCTAATGGCGCTTCCTCACGCCTATAATTTGAAGGCGCTCTTAACAAAATAAGGGCAAGTAGTGTGCACTTGCTATAAAAATTGGAGAGCATCACTTCCAACCGGCCAATCTGAAATAGGTTTGAGGGAGGCCTATTTTGAGTATACTAGACCAGTTGGACGTCCTGTGGCTGAAATGATGATGATGATGATGATGTTTAGTTACCTCTGCTTAGGGTTGGCGTTGTCCCGCGCGTGGATGCGGCGCGGCGCCGAGTCGGGCCCGCTCTCGCCCTCCGTGTCGCTCGTGCCTGGACAAACAGACAGAACTAGCTTTTATTACGTTACTTCTTTAGTGTATGAGCAGTTAGCAGATAATTAAAAATAAACTCTACCGCGATGTAAAACCGTACAGCGCCACCTCTTGATGTCGATAAGAACTTACTGTTACATTACTTTAACTTAACTTACTTTAATACTCGTACATATTCTATTAACAAATTGGACAGGGTACTTGACTGCATAGTCAATTGATATACTTTTGAACAAGATTTTCGGGGCCAAATTTGAGTGTTTTTACAGAAGTTATCTTGGAATTATTCATTTATGGTGGCAATCAGAAAAATATCAAGTCTTGCAAACAAAAATATGTTTCATTTTTAAAAACGGTTGTGGCGTTGTTGTCTATGTCTAAATAAAATATAAGTTTGTGGACACAACAGCTGTAGGTACTCAAACGCTTATACAGGGTGTTAGGTAAATGGGTATATGAGCCGACACTAGCCCATGTTAACATGGTCATATAAATTGTATGGTGAAGTCAGAAAATTGATATCTTCATTTTAATTATTTTAATTTTTGTTATTGGTAAACAACACCGTCCTTAAGTTTATTGTCAAGATACAATGGTCATTATCATTAATTTATCGTTTTATATCAGTTGAACAATACCGTTTATCAATACTAATTAAGCAGCTTATCCATTGTTAAATGTTAGCTTGCTTATAATTCGTCGAAAGAGATACGAAATACAGACTGAGCAATCTTTAAATTTTATCTTTTCTGATATGGACATAAAGTTTACCGAGTTTGACAGCATCTCAAATTCTCAAGCAATTAAATTACTTAAAAATAAGGGCATAAAGTTGAAAATCACCTGTAGTAAGCTCGGCCTTCTCCTGGCTAAAGACAGACGAGTTCCTAGGACTGCTCCCGTTGGTGGTCGAATTGGTGTCGCTGTCGGGCACCACGCGGCGCCTCTCCACTCCATCGCGACGGTCTATGGCGCGGTCTATGCGGTTGTCTCTGGTCACGTCGTCTATGATGAACGTTTTGCGCTTGTCCGCATCGCCGCGGCGTTTTTTGTCCGGTTGGTTTACCTGTGGAAGAATTACGCTGTGTTTAATTTTAAGATTTTTTAAGGAGGTGCCTTATGTCCATTTTATAGTCGGTTTTTATAAGTGCGGTGGTCCTTCTGATTTAATAGAGGGCATAATACACTATGACCATACATCACATATTTATGAAATACTCTTGAATGACGCCTACAAGAATTAAACTATCTCTTAGCGAAACCCAAATCTAATGCTACACAGGTACATATCTTAGTGAAACCCAGAACTAACTCAATACAGCTGCCATCTCTTAGTGAAACTCGAAACTAACAGACTCACAACTGCCTCTCCTTACGGCTCACTAGTTGGCGCCACTGTAGCCCTCTACACAAAAAAGTTTCAGGACCTTGGAACAAAACCTAGAAATGCTCGATTCCAAGACGTCTAGCTTAAATAAAATCTCACCTGGAAGTGCGTGACGTAATCCCTAGCCAGCACCACATCATTGCTCATAGCCTGCCGCTCGCTTAACTCAATAAAGCTGCCATCTCTTAGTGAAACTCGGAACTAACTCACTACTGCCTTTCCTACCGCTCACTAGTTGGCGCCACTGTCTTTGCTGTAACCCTCTACACAAAAAAGTTTCAAGACCTTGGAAAAAACCTGGAAATGTTTTTAAGACCTCTGGCTTATACAGGGTGTAACTTTTAAGACGTCTGGCTTAAACCTGGAAATGCTTGAATTAAGTACCTCTGGCTTAGATTTATTCTGACCTGGAAGTGCGTGACGTAGTCCCTAGCCAGCAGCACGTCACTGCCGCCCGCCTGCCGCCTGCGGTGCTCCCGCGGCCTCGCGTCCAGGATGTCCGAGTGAACCGACGCGAGCATGGCGTCCGCGGGGAGTGCGGCCAGCTGCTCCTCGTCCGAGGAGTAGTCCAGCTGCAGCTCCGCCATGTTGGTTGTGTGGAAGGATTGCGAGCGGTGGACTCAGAACTAACTCAATAAAGCTGCCATCTCTTATCTAAACGCGGAACTTACACACTAAAAGTGCCATCTATTAGCAAAATCCAGAAATAACTCAATAAATCTGCCATCTCTTAGTGAAACCCGGAACTAACTCAATAAAGGTGCCCTCTTAGAAGACAGTCTATATCTAAACTAATTTAACAAGCGCCATCTCTTAGCAAAACTCGGAACTAACTCTTAACACAGGTGCCATCTGTTAAAAAAACTCGGAACTAACTTACAACTGCCTCTCCTTACAGCTCACTAGTTGGCGCCACTGTCTTAGCTAGTGTTCTCATTACTAGTTCATGACACGAAAATCTAAAAACCTTGGATTGGAACAAACTTGGAAATGCTTTTAAGATCTCTGGCTCACCACAAAACCTGGAAATGCTTGATTTTAAGACTTACCTGGAAGTGCGTGACGTAGTCCCTAGCCAGCAGCACGTCACTGCCGCCCGCCTGCCGCCTGCGGTGCTCCCGCGGCCTCGCGTCCAGGATGTCCGAGTGAACCGACGCGAGCATGGCGTCCGCGGGGAGTGCGGCCAGCTGCTCCTCGTCCGAGGAGTAGTCCAGCTGCAGCTCAGCCATGTTGGTTGCGTGGAAGGACTGCGAGCGGTGGACTCAGAACTCAACGAAGATGCCATCTCTTATCAAAACCCGGAACTAACACAGCACAGGTGTCATCTCTTATCTAAACCCGGAATTAACAAACTAAAGGTGTCATCTCTTATCTAAACCCGGAATTAACACACTAAAGCATAAAGGTGACATCTCTTATCAAACCCAGAGCTAACTCAACACCAGTGCCATCTTTTAGCAAACCCAGGAACTATTAACTCAGGTGCCATCTCTTAATGAAACTCGGAACTAACTCAATAAAGGTGCCCTCTTAATATGTCTAAATCTAAACTAATTTAACAAGCGCCATCTCTTAGCGAAACTAGGAACTAACTCTTAACACAGGTGCCATCTGTTAAAAAAAACTCGGAACTAACTCACAACTGCCTCTCCTACCGCTCACTAGTTGGCGCCACTGTCTTATCTAGTGGCTTTTAAGACACGAAAATGTTTAAAGACTTTGGAAAAAACCTGGAAATGCTTGATTTTAAGACTTACCTGGAAGTGCGTGACGTAGTCCCTAGCCAGCAGCACGTCACTGCCGCCCGCCTGCCGCCTGCGGTGCTCCCGCGGCCTCGCGTCCAGGATGTCCGAGTGAACCGACGCGAGCATGGGGTCGGCGGGGAGTGTGATTAGACGAATAAAAGCACAGGCGCCATCTCTTAACAAAACCAGAGACTAAATCTTGGCACAGGCGCCATCTCTTAGTAAAACTCAGAACTGACACACAAGCGTCTCTCCTACTGCCCATTACTTGGCGCCACTATCTTTGCCACTAGCTAGTAGCCTTTATAGGTACGGGACTATTCCCACCTCTCGTTCCTACTGCTGCAACTCCTGTGTAGCCAGGATCTACAGCTTGACCGCCATAAAAACCCAAGCAATGAAGGTCAAGTTTGTCCCGGGCACTCTAGATAAAGCTGCCATCTCTTAGAGAAACTCGGAACTAACTCACAACTGCCTTGCCTACCGCTCACTAGTTGGCGCCACTGTCTTTGCTGTAACCCTCTACACAAAAAAGTTTCAAGACCTTGTAAAAAACCTGGAAATGCTTGTAAGACCTCTGGCTTATACAGGGTGTAGCTTTTAAGACCTCTGGCTTAAACCTGGAAATGCTTGAATTAAGTACCTCTGGCTTAGATTTATTCTGACCTGGAAGTGCGTGACGTAGTCCCTAGCCAGCAGCACGTCACTGCCGCCCGCCTGCCGCCTGCGGTGCTCCCGCGGCCTCGCGTCCAGGATGTCCGAGTGAACCGACGCGAGCATGGCGTCCGCGGGGAGTGCGGCCAGCTGCTCCTCGTCCGAGGAGTAGTCCAGCTGCAGCTCCGCCATGTTGGTTGTGTGGAAGGACTGCGAGCGGTGGACTTAGAACTCAACAAAGGTGCCATCTCTTATCAAAACGCGGAACTAACACACCCAAGGTGACATCTTTTAGCAGCACCCGTAAATAACACACTAAAGGTGACATCTTTTAGCAGCACCCGTAAATAACACACCAAAGGTGACATCTTTTAGCAGCACAAGGAACTAACACACCAAAGGTGACATCTTTTAGCAGCACAAGGAACTAACACACCAAAGGTGACATCTTTTAGCAGCACCCGGAACTAACACACCAAAGGTGACATCTCTTATCAAAACCAGGAACTAACACAACAACAGCGCAATCTTTTAGCAAACCCAGGAACTATTACCTCAGGTGCCATCTCTTAATGAAACTCGGAACATACTCAACAAAAGTGCCATCTCTTAGTGAAACTCGGAACTAACTCAATAAAGGTGCCCTCTTAATAGAAGACAGTCAATATCTAAACTAATTTAACAAGCGCCATCTCTTAGCAAAACTCGGAACTAACTTTTAACACAGGTGCCATCTGTTAAAAAACTCGGAACTAACATACTCCTTACTGCTCACTAGTTGGCGCCACTGTCTTTGCTAGTACCCTCTACACAAAAAAGTTTCAAAACCTTGCAAAAAAACCTGGAAATACTTGATTTTAAGACCTCTGGCTTAAATAATCTCTTACTTGGAAGTGCGTGACGTAGTCCCTAGCCAGCAGCACGTCACTGCCGCCCGCCTGCCGCCTGCGGTGCTCCCGCGGCCTCGCGTCCAGGATGTCCGAGTGAACCGACGCGAGCATGGCGTCCGCGGGGAGTGCGGCCAGCTGCTCCTCGTCCGAGGAGTAGTCCAGCTGCAGCTCCGCCATGTTGGTTGTGTGGAAGGACTGCGAGCGGTGGACTGGGGAAGAGTGGCTGGGGACAGAAACAAATCATTAATATTTAGACTGTATTAGCATTTTTTTTTTAAATAATCATTATTATTAAGAGTGCTTATGGAAGATTAAGGAGTTTTACCAGTCTGACAAAAAAGTAGTAAGCAAGAATTTCATTTTTTATTTTAATTTTATTTATTAAGGAAATTATTATACCTAATTTCAGTCTTGTCATCTCTGCTTCAAATGTCTATCCAAGGATGTAATTCATAATATTTCGTTTTCTAGTGTCCAAGCCTTGCCCAAGGACAGTAGTTACTAGTTACCCTCATATATGAGGACCTAAGTTAAGCATGACATTCTTTCAGATTGCGGGCTTCATGCGCTCGTACGAGGCTCAGTTCCAGCTGCTGTACAAGGACACCTAGATGTCGTACGAGGTCTCCTAGATGTCATATGAGGACGTCTAGATGTCATACGAGATCTCCTAGACGTCTTATGAGGTCTAGATATTCGAGGTCTACTGGATGTCGTACGAAGTCTCCTAAATGGCGTAAACTCACCTGGGCTCGCTGCTGGTGTCCTTATCCCTCGCCGGCCGCCGTCTGCCCTCCATCGCTGCCTTCATAGGCTCGTACGAGGCTCGCTTGCGCCAGTTTGTGTACGAGGCTTCTTTGCTGGCTAGCGCGGAGGACGAGCGGTGTTGGCTGGGCTTCTTTTGACCTGGAATTTGGACAGATTCTCTTATTTGTTGTGCGAAATAATTAACTTTTTAAAAAAAAAAAACCGACTTCAAATGCGTGAACACAAAAAAAAAAAAAATATTGCGTATAAAAAAGTTCATCCCCAATTTTCCACCCTTAGGAGTGAAATATTTTCTTCAAATTCGCATGAAACCACCCTTTTGATAATACCTATTCAACAAAAAAATAATCGTTTAAATTGATTTATAATCGGCGGAGATATTGCGTATAAAAAAGTTCATCCCCAATTTTCCACCCTTGGGGGTTGTTTTTTCTATTATTAAATTTAAATGGGACCACCCTTGAGGTATTACCTATACGCCGAAAAAAGATTTGTTCAAATCGGTTCGTAATTGGCGGAGTTATCGCGTAACAAACATAGAAAAGAACTTTATACATATAACGGGGGTTAACAAAATACCAGTGGTGCCGCCTAGTGTGTTTCTAGCCTGTCTTTATTTCAAAATGTCAGTCAATGAGAAATCATAAGTGCGTTTCAATTTATAGAACGTCTTTTATAATGGGGATTTTAAGAACTTCTTATGTAACAGGGACTTGAAGAACTTCGTTTATAAGAGACGTAAAGAAATTCCTATATAGCGGGAGTTTAAAGACCCTTCCAACGGGAGGCTGTCTTAACAGCTGTGTTCCCGATGAGGATGTTGCAGTTTGGAATTTGGAATCAACCATTGAACAAAAATAAATATGATTTCGCTTTGACGGGGACATAACAACCTAAAAGATAGAAGATAATATTTTAAAATCAGCATTAAAGTAGATTATTACGATTTAGGGCATAGATTTGATTTAGGTTTATAGAGGGGAGTGGCATGATGACGTAAGAGGGGACTAGAGTCAGCGTGATGATTGTGGGTCAATTTTCCGTTTACCGCCACGCTGGTAAATTATAAAGTTGTGCTCCTGCAATTGAAACTAAATGACCTAATGACAATGATATCAACAGGGACATAGCAGCACGCAACTGCCTGCTAACCTCCCGCGGTCCAGGTCGTGTGGTCAAAATCGCTGACTTCGGCATGGCCAGAGACATCTATAGAGCTGACTACTACAAGAAGGGGGGCAAGGCCATGCTGCCCATCAAGTGGATGCCGCCGGAGGCGTATATTGACGGGATATTCACCATAAAAACTGATGTTTGGTGAGTAAACTGTTCTTGTGTCCTTTTTTCCTGCATTGTTTTTCTCACTTTTGATTTATTTTTCTTCGCTCGGTCTTTGGATGATTTCTTCTGGACGATGTCCAGGTTATACAACGCAAAATTTCCGCCATGGTAATATAATGTTAATCGAATGATGGATATTTACTCGTATGTATTCTAGCAATCGATTCAGAACTAGCACCGCCTTTTTGGCTGCTTTCTCCAACATTCGGACTGATTGGAACTAATCCCCATGTGCGACTCCTGTGTAGTCAGGATGCAGCTGGACTGATAAAAACTAACCAGGGAAAGTAAAGTTTATCCCAGGGAAAAAATACGGTCAATAAGCCTGCAACGAAATCAATCAGACGAAAACAAGACACCGAAGTAAAGGGTCGACTTCTGATCAATTTCGTTGCGGGTCCAATGACAGTTTAACTTTCCTCCGGGATAAACTTGACCTTCACTGGTTGGGTTTTTATTGGCGGTCAAACTGTAGATCCTGGCTACACAGGAGTTGCAGCGGTGGGAACGAGAGGTGGGAATGGTCCCGTTCAGATGATTAATTCCTGGTTTATATTTGCAGGTCGTTTGGTGTGTTGCTATGGGAGGTATTCTCTTTGGGCGTGATGCCGTACACGGGCTGCGCGAATAGAGAGGTCATGGAGATGGTCTCCGGCGGCGGTCGCCTGGAGAAACCTTATGGTCAGTGCCTTTTACTTAATACTTTAAAACAGCGGACGAGATTATTTTTTATGCATAACAAGGCAGGTATTTACCACAGACCACATTTGGTGTATTTTCATCATTCGTGAATACTGCCAAGTCTCAAATTTAAACAATTTAACCTGATTCAATGTGTGATTTTATTATTCGATCCTTCGGGCTGGTTTTAATTGGTCCTTTGAGCCGGATTTCAAATCTAAAGATAAGGATATATTTATTTTTTTAAAACACGTGTACATTATTAACATTAAAGTGTAGTCTTACTATAGACNTCTTGTCTGCCCTCCATCGCTGCTTTCATAGGCTCGTACGAGGCTCGCTTGCGCCAGTTAGTGTACGAGGCTACCTAGGTGTCGTACAAGGTCAAATACATGTCGTACGAGATCAAATAAATGGCATGAGCTCACCTGGGCTCGCTGCTAGTGTCCTTATCCCTCGCCGGCCGCCGTCTGCCCTCCATCGCTGCCTTCATAGGCTCGTACGAGGCTCGCTTGCGCCAGTTTGTGTACGAGGCTTCTTTGCTGGCTAGCGCGGAGGACGAGCGGTGTTGGCTGGGCTTCTTTTGACCTGGAATTTAGACAGATTCTTTATTTACTGTGCGCCACAAAAAATACAAATACGATAGGTATTAGGCATTGTTATCGCTATGAGATGGATCTCTTGCCCTGGAAGAATGACCAATTCGCATAATAACTCGCGGCTCTGTGTCAATGGCCCTGGAGGACACCGTCAGGTTTTAGGGGGTATACCCCGCCCTTCTGGCTGCGAGAGTCCCACATAATCCACTGACCGCCATTGGCCAAAACGGGGCTATTCCCACCTCTCGTTCCCACCACTGCAACTCCTGTGTAGCCAGGATCTACAGCTTGACCACCATAAAAACCCAACCAATGAAGGTCAAGTTTGTCCCGGGGGAAAGTTAAACTGTCATTGGACCCGCAACGAAATTAATCAGAAGAACATAGGAGGAGTTCGAAATTAAGGTTGCTGCCATTGGCCAGTTGGTACGCAAAGCATATATCCCGACAAAAAAAAGGAGATGACAGTTGTTAAAAAAGCATTATTCGTTATTGAGAGAAATTTTCCCGTGCAAACTTTCAGCTCCATAAGACACCTATTTTATAAATTGTGCCACAAAAATCAGCCTATGTCCAATCAAAAATTGTTATAACCGTTTAGTCTTGAAATCATTCCTTGTTTATTTTTTATTTATTTAAAGACTATATTGCACACACATAAGAATATTCCGTACAAAAAGGCGAGCTTATGTGAACTTTATGAACAATTTAATTTGATTTCAAAATTACAGCAACTCATCATCAGAACAATTTGCCAACACTGCCAGGTTGTTAAAGTCGCAATTTCGTCAGCGAGGTTCGTCTCGGTCGTCATCCTTGGGGACTGCCGATGATATTACAGATCCGTCATAGTTAGCACATTGCACCGACGCGACGGTACTGATCGCCTTTGAAAGTACAGGCACGACGAATAGTGGGTAATCATAAGATACGAGCATTCTTCACCAAGTAACACATCCAGAACTTAATATAATATCCCTAAATACAGCCATTAAGTCCCTAATTCCAATTATTAATTCGAAATACAATAAAATTATTGATTTATTGAACGCATTTCAGCAATTCGATAACTTTAACTCTAACTTAAACACCTTTACTTATCAAAATCCTTAATAAAAGAAAAAAATAAACAGCAGAATGGCTAACTAAATGATGAAAAATCTGCTAATTGAAGTAAAGTAGATGTGGCATTGCTGACAAACCTCAGGTCAGGTTTATGTCAGTCAATGTCTTTTACAAGAATGCAAATAATAAATAGATGAGAAATATCTACTTCAAATGCGACTAAACGGTTAACAATTGTTCAACTGATTGTACCACAAGCCATTGGTTGCTAAACATAGCAAACCGCACATTATATTATTCGCAACTCGCACGCACGGCCAACGTGGTATATCGTCCTTTCTATTTATTGAAAGACTGCCATAATGTTGTGTGAAGGACATTTATTATTTTATGATAAGATCACTCGGAAACAAAGAAATAGATGTAGCCAAATCCCAAGTGATTTTAAGATACGTTTTTTTTTATCCACAACGAGGAAGCTCTTGGCCTGTATCTCACCTGATGGTAAGTGACGATCAGGCCGAAGGTGGAAGCGAGCTTCACCCGGAATCCTCAACCACGTAGGAACTGGCTTTNCTGGCTATCTTACCTCTAACTAGTTCATATAAAATTAATATACCTAGCCGAATAGAACAATATGGTTCTTAGTTCCTAGTTATTTATGCTTACTTTTATATGACCTAGTAAGAACATAGGGAAAAAACATTGATTAAAAGTCAGCTTACTTCTCATAAAATGATGCTAAAAATTCGATTGAAACTTAAAACATAAATTGAATCATAAGATTGGTGAATTTTCAATATATTTTGCAATTTACAGGCTATAAAATTGATTGAGTATCGATCGATTATATTTAAGTGTAATTTCAACACGAGCCAAGTATCGCATAGATACTCGTACTTGGCTAAATCGTTTTAAGGCCCAGAACAGACGGTGAAACGCAACTGCAACAAAACTGCAACTGCTAGTTACTTTTGAGTTGCATCTAAGTTTTTGCCATAGCGTTCGTTGAGAGACCACACATGACGCGACCAGTTTGAAACTTTCAGTTTCAGTTTCATTCATCAGAATCATCCGAAAGTTGCAGTTTCGTTGCAGTTGCGTTTCACCTTCTGTTCTGGGCCTAACTGTCATTACAATCATTTACTGAATTAGTTAATACTGAAAACAAAATTATGAATATAGCTTGTAGTACTGACCTTTCTCCTGTTGCTTAGGCTGGAATTCCCTCGTCGAAGACCTCGACTTGGTTAGCCTGCTCAGGACAGCCTGTCTCGGCTCGGAGACCCGCCGGCTCTGGTGCCCCGTCGGCCGGCTTTCCTGCACCGGCGGCTCCGGGGCCCTCGCACTCCCTGCCCGCTCCTTGCTCGTCACCCTCACGGAATTCCTCACCAAACCCGGCCCAAACTTCCTCTGCATCTCCGGCGTATTCGGACAACGCGGAGAATTCGCCGGCACAATCGATTTCAAATCCGGAGAATCGATCCTACCCCTATTCGATGTACGCTTGTACCTCAACTCTTGCGACTTCTCAAACGAACCAGTATCCGATTCATCTGATAGGTAATCTTTGTATTCCTCTGAATGACCACTCGACCGCCTGGATGTGATCCTGGGCGGTTCTATGTAGTTGTTATTCTTATTAACAGTGTTGAAAGAGCTGGATCTCCTAATCGAGCTTCCGAACCCTACATTTTGCGGCTTAAATTGTTTATTTCCATCGCTGTAAACTCTTTGGTGCTTCTTGTTGTCGTAGTAACGCGTTTGGTCGATCCTCTGGTAGCCCGCTTCTAAGGCGTTGTTTTTTAAGACAGTCTTGAGACACACGGCTTGATTCGTGTTGACGTCCGTGAAAAAATTCGGGTTTTGACCTTCGAAGGACTTGTGTCGGACGTGCGCTTTCCTGTGCGGCGACAGGATCGCTTCAACGTCGTACGGTGGACGATTCGACAGTGTTTTGTCGTCGGAACTGTTGCTTAAGAGACCGCGTTCTGAGCACGGACTATTCATATTTGAGTCGTGGTTTTTCCGCCTGTCAGTGTCTAAAGATCTGGAAGCGGAGTTGAGGAGGATCCTAGTGCTTTCGGGGACTTTCATGGACCCTGTGATGACGTAATGTCCAGGGCTTCTTAGTGGACTGCTGTCCCCGGAGGTTTCTTTCCTCCTGAGGCGGTAGTTTAGTGAGTTCGATCTACTCAACTGTGAGATCGGAAGGCGGGAGACGGCCGTCTTCTCGCTGATGAGACTAGAAGTGAGTTGGGAGGGAATGTTGGTGAAGTTGTTGGTGCGAGACGAGTGCAGCTTCGCTTGAAGGTTGGTGATCGCGTTTTGAGTTTTGAGTAAGTACGACTCGGTATCTTGAGTTGGGATTAGATCCTGTAGCAAAAGAAAAGCGTGGCTTAGTTTATTTGTGAGATATTGAAACAAACAATTGACATTCAGAGCGCAAAAAAACAAGTAAAATTAAAAAAAAACTCATAAAACTCATTTATTTTTGCAAATAGGCTTTTAAAAACCACTTTTACACGTCCCAGTATTAACCCTACCACTGCTTCGGGACAATAAATGGGCCAGTGCTGAGAAGAAGCAGCGCAAAAAACTCAGCTAATTGACATAACGGCAAAAATTAAAAATAATACGGACTTAAAACAATGTAAGACGAAAATACTGTTATAATAACTGAGTTACAATAACAATACATGATAATAAATAACTCTTAAGTTATTATTTGCTGAGTATCAAAGTAGATACTGAAAAGATCTCAATCATTCCGTTTAATTGTAGTTTTGTACGCGAATCAAATACCTAATAAGAATCCAATTCATCGATGATTCGGTTGGTTTGTTCTATTTTATAATTTATTAGACACAAGGAAGAAATCTAGTTCATATACGGTCTACTTAGATATTAACAATGTATTGTAGTATTTGTAGTCCAAGTCAATCTTAGCAGATGTACAAATTCTATAAGCAATGTGCAAAAAGTATGCTTTTGAGATATTATAGAATACACAAAAATACCGAATTAGTACACAGATAAATTATCATCTACTCTTTTTTGAATCACACTAAACAAAACTGAACTTGAAATTTTCAGATTTGTTTTTTGTATATTTCTTGAAATATAAACTTTAGAAATATTTAACCCTAAATCTGGCGCAGTCGGTTAATAAAAATAGATGAATAATACCAAATGAAATAAATTTTAATAAAACAAATTAATGTTACCAGTTTCTCTTAATAAGTTACCTAATTTATGCCTCAGTATAATTAAAATTGTCATAATGTTTTTTATAAGTCCATAAAATAGTAAAAAAACCTACATAAAGTGGCTGGCAATAACTTTAATAACGACAATTCTTAGCTACATAAATGAAATACCACAATAACATTTTATATTAGTAGAGTTCGAAATAAATTCTTGGGATAAACGCCCATTGTTCAAGATATTATTATAATCGTGTTAGTTCACAGATCTTAATCTTATTTTTGTGCCAGTTATGTTTCAAAGATTAAAATGTTAGATGTAAATTATAGTTTGAAGTCACTTCCTTGTATATTTTACATTCTTTAGCAAATTCCCTTCAAGCAATTTTTTATTTGGGTTTTTCCCTAATTAATATAATATCAGATTTTATATTAATCTTAGGATATCGTAAGTAATGGAATAGCAAATACCCAAAACATCTTTGTAAAACTTTAGTTCGTTTTTATAATGGTGCGTCCAGACTGGGCGCACCATAACACTTCTTTGTCTCTTTTTCATCACAAAGAAATCAGCATTTGACAGACAGAGACAAAATTCATTCATTAGCCAAAACGGTTTAACAATACTGTGTTAATTTAAATAAATAATAAAGATTTTAGTCGTAAACCAAATGTTTTCATGAAAAAGTAACTAAATCCCCATTCACAAGGCCGAACCTTGAACGCAAACAATTAGGTATTTAAACAAAACCTTTGTTTGACCGTATTAGGTACGCGAATTGCAGATTACATAGCGTCATATATACAGGGTGAAATTTAAATCATTGGCATCATTTTAATTTGAGACAAGATACATAGTAGGTACATTCCCTAAATGTAATATGAGACAAATCAAATGAGTCTTTTGTCTACATTTTTTACTATTTATTTGTATGTATTAGTGCGCTCTTACAAAGAGTTTAAAATGATTGTACAGTCATCAGAGCATACATTTTTGTTGTAAACACCTGTTACATCGAAATAAGTGTTAAACATGTTCTGCTGTCGCCTGTACAAGGTTTTCATTATTGCCATTTTATGTATCATGAGTAGTCTTATTTTAAAAGGATGCCAACGATCTAAACAGCCTGTATAATACATATTCAATAATTTGACATACATAATTCATTGGCAACACATATCTACATACAGCTGTCTCGTATATTGCGTAAGTACTTGAAATTAATAGCACATTAGTTGGGTTATGTACTTGCCACAATTCGAATACATAAATCAATTGAACCTCAATAACTGATTTTTAATCTAATGTTCAGGATATACGGTTCAAAATGTAATGGGCGAATTGGTGATTTTGATAAAAACCTGTACCTACTTAACTGCAGTCTCAGACATAAAGATAAAATAATTGTATTTTTTCTCTCTCTCACGCCAGCCTTTTAAATGTGGGTAAAAGAGACGGATAGATTTAATTGGAATCGTCCTGATTGAAATTCAGTCAGATACACGCTAAATCTTAACTAAATCTTATTATTATACTTTGCCTGCAGTTCTGCATTTTTCAAAGATTTGATTTTTTTAATAACTCTTAAAGTAATTAAACCTAACCAGTTACAACCTTTTAAAATAAGATTACTTTATGAAACAATAAGATTTCATTTTTTTATTCAAAGATAATATTTTTTGCTAGGCACAAAACCATTTTGAACTCTGCCCTATGCTTAATCTATGTCGCGTGTTAAGTGTCGCTCGTGACAGACAGACAGACGCGAACACTCCCCAGCCACACAACTTTGTTCTAGTTGTATGTAAATGTATGATGTAATGCTGAATGTAGAATGTAGAATTGTAGTCCAAAGTAATATGGTTTGTAGGCCACTATCTCCGGTTATATTGTAAAGAAACGACGTATTTTGGTATACATTTTGAAAGTTTAATATTGTCTTGTTTCCGGGATCAGAGGTGAAGTTATTAATCTCAGGAACTACTGGTCAGATTTGAAAAATTATTTCTGTGTTGGATAGCCCATTTATTAGGAAAGCTTTAGGCTATTATGTATAACATCACCTTACAGCCAGTAGGCGCAGAGCAGTAAAGAAAAATAAACGGGAAATACTTAATATTAAAACTATTTTCAGACGTACGAAGTCGCGGGCACAGCTTGTTTCATTATAAAATATTTATTTCATATACAGAGTTGACATAATTATGTTTATATTTCAACAAAAAAATCATTGTTTATTTCCTTCACATTATTGTGATATTCTTCATCAATCAAACGTGTTGAAAACTTGAACTCGTCTAACAATATTGATGAAAATGTTCGTGAAATTAATTTGTAATAACCTGGACTTGTTTATTATCTCGAACGCTCTTTATTGTGTTGATAGGTGGTGTCACATCATCCGTTTTATTAATTCATTAAATAATATTGTACTTAAATTCGATAGAAGATAGATAGAACACACTTCAAGGTACACCACATAAAAAGAAAGAGAAAGAATCAGTAATTACACAAAAGATAAGGCAGTGAGTTATACTTTTTTTAATCCAAACATGCGAAGCTCTTGGCCTGCATCACAAATGATGGAAAGTGATGATCAAGCCGAAGGTGGAAGCGTGCTTTACCCGGAATCCTCAACCACAGAGGAAATGGCTATCTTACCTCCAACTACCGAAACACTATGCTATTAACATTGTTATGTCGACAGGCTTAGGTAAGATGGTGGTAGCTAGCCAGGCGGACTTAGAACAGCTCTATAACCAACCAAAGTGGGCAGAAAATTTATGGTTCCCATTGGGGACCAATCCCGAGACCTCTCGGCCTAAAACAATCACTAGACCACAGAGACGGTCACCAAGCAACCCGAGCAGATTTTTTGCCCCCACAGTGCAGTGTGGGTTGTGAGTTTACATCAAACGCGCTCACGTTTAAAAAATGTATGAATATTTTAGTGGGTCTCTTCTCTAGGTCTGTATGAGACAGGTGTTCTAAATACTAGAGCACAGAGTCTATAAGTTATTTATTGACCCATAAACACGGTATAATAAAAACCTCTCGATTTCACAGCACCGTTTCATCTTCACTAACTGTAAAAGGATGGCATTCCGTTTGCAAAACCTACAAAGCGTTTGATAAGATGCAATCTAAGCTTTGTGTTGTAAACCACGAACAATATTCAAAATATCGATAGTATTGCCATGTCTAATAATAAATAATGTGTGGACAGTATCGATAATTAGCGTGAAAATTCAAAAGTATTACAATAAGCCGCCCGGAAAAAGATATTTTTTTTTAATTTAAATATATGCTCATAGCTAAAAGTTACTATACTACCCAAGAGTACTTCAAAGAGAGTCTGCGAGTATAAATCTGCATTCTCCTCTCCTCACATTTTTGCTGCGCCCAACAGGGTCCATATCGTCCTATACAGGGTGAAATTACAAGGTGTTGCCATTTTTTAATAAGCTTTAGAGAACAAAACAAAATTTTGATTTTTATTTTGCATATGGCGATACTAACGATAAACTATCGATACTATTATTTATGCCTTTATCGATAGTGGACAATCGATGTTACAACACTGATCTACCTAGACGCGTTTGGTAATGCGGCATCGCTTTCACTGAATTCGCTGGCCTTGGCGACAGCACTGTAACCTACAGTCCGATATAATTATTTTTGACGTGGGTGGACAGTTAGGCATGAACCCAATTTGGGGACATTGTGTTTAATTGGGTTTTTGACACCATTAAAACTTAATTCTAAAGCACAACTTTTTTAAAAACACACTTCATTCGGTCTTAAAAATTAAATCAATTTTAAATCCTGTAAAATTAGATTAAGATTTTTAGTTGCTTTGTATTTGATAAAAAGTTTGTCAGTAAGTTGGCAAAACAGTGATGTCATATTATATAAAATATAAAAATCTATAGGAGTCTCGTTTTGACAGTTTTTAAAAGTACGTCAATTGATTGATGGTGTCAAATACCCTAATGAATATCCTGGCAAAAGCATGGGGAGTGTAGGCCAAATCCTCTATTTGCCATGGGTAAGAGAGGGTTTTGTTCCTGCAGTGGAGACAATGAATTGATGATGTATTGACCAAGATAGATTTTAATGAAATAAGTTGATCGTCATAAATTAGACAAGAAGATCGGCCTTCATATCTAACACTCACGATTTATGAAATGCCACTTCATAGTTTGCTATTAGGTATTTGCTATTTGACATTTCAACATTGTGCGAAGCTTGAAAGGAATTTTAATCGAATCCTGTCAAAGATTATTATCAGATTTTGGTACAGAAGTCAAAGAACATAATCGGTTGATACTGCTTAATTTGGTTGGCAACTAATCTTATTGTTAACCTTATTATTGTATTTGATTGCGGTCAAGTACCTGCCTTATTCTGCATAAAAAAAGTCACAAAATTGCCCTTAATACACCTCTTGTAACAATAATCGTAATCTAGCTTCTAGGTCATGTGTCTGTTTTTTAATTTTTTTCAATATCTCACGTAAATTAATAGATTTAATGAAGACATTTCTCAGGTCTCATACTAAAATATCTGGCAAAAGAGTCACCGATTCTTAGATAGCTCTTTATCTGCCAAATAACTAACTGAAACTTAAAAAACAAACATTGATATTAGATTAGCTCCAATAATGAATGCTATTAAGTATCTATGAATATGTAAGTATGTATTAGAATCAAATGAAGGTTACATTTGTTAACCAAATTCAATCAAACCAAAAGTAGGTTCACAAAATCGGGCATTGTTGTAAGAATGCCGTATCTGCATGTTTGGGGGCAATAAAACCACCTGTTTTATTATTTTATTATTTATTAAGCGCCATAAACTTTTTATGAGCATTAAATCGTCTTAAAAGGAGGTTGCGTAAATATTCAACTGACCCCAATAAATCAAATTCTTTATGGATTTTCTAAAATGATTGATGATAGTCGAGACTCGAGAAGCCTCGCTTCAGTCGTAAATTCGAATCCCAGTAGCTTCGTATTTTCTGAGGAAACACGAAAAATAAACATACGTTTTTTATTTATATAAGTGCTCACCAATAAACGGATATGGAATAAATCTTTTGAAAAGCATTTTATGGCAGTAACGAAGGAATGGTGAGAATCTTTTTAACAGTGGTTAACAGATTTGAAAATTATAAATAAGGCGGGATTTGAACCCACGAAGAAGAAGATTCCCGAAGAAGGTCGTGGGTTCAGGTTCCCGCCTTAGGTAGTTCGATTTTTTCAAATTATTTAATAATTTTCAAATTAGTTTCTTGAGATGCAACTCTTAACGCTAAAAATTAAATAACTAGTAGTTAGCAGATGTCTAATTAGTGATGTAACTACTCTCAACTTTGAATCATAATTTTGGAGACTAGAGTCTTAATTTTCAGAGCTCTATCAGCGACTAGACGTATGTGAAAAGAGTCGTCTTGTACAGACAACAAAACATCAAGCTT